CGCCTGCCTCCCGCTCACGGCGCTGAGTCTACGTCCAGTCCACGACTACGACGGGGAGGTAGCATTTTCTCCACAGACAGAGAGAAACCTAGACGGCTGAATCACAGACTAGCACGGAAAGTCCTGGAACAGGGCGCGGCCACACTCTCCTGGACGCTGTTTTAACTTGCCCTTCAAGTCGTTTTCCAGACTATTAAAAAAAACATTTATTTATCCCAAAGGCAGAGCAACAGGGACACGGACACACACGCACACGCACACGCACACAGAGGGAGGGAGGGAGGGAGGGAGGGACACTGCTCTACTGCCCTCCCAGCCGCCGGCTCACTCCTCACACGGCTGCAACACCAGGACCGAGCCAGGCCAAACCCAGGAGTCTGGCGCTCCACCCTGCTCTCCCCGCCGGGTGCAGGGGCCCGAGGACTTCGCCCTCCTGCTGCTGCTCTCCCAGGTGCACCGGCAGGGGGCTGGACTGGGAGCAGAGCAGCCGGCACGCCCCGTGGCATGCCGAGTCAGCCGGGGCTTGACCCGTGCCCACAGAGCCGTGAGCGCAGCAGGGCAGGGACCGGCGGCACTGCTCCAGAGCTGGGACAGCAGCAACACGCACACTGTGGAAGCAGACGGCCACCTAGCAACGCCGGAAGCCACCTCGACCATCAGACCACGAGTGGCCACCCTGGGACCCACAGCCACCGCTGGGTCAGCGTGGAGCCTGCCCACAGCAGGTGCAGCCCGCCACCAGTGCCAACAGAAGCCTGCACGGAGGAGGCTGCCGCAGCCAGACACAAGGGCCGCCAGCTGGCAGAGCAAGCAAGCAAGTGCCAGTGACGGGGTCCCAGCTGAGGGCCGGTGACGGGGCCCCAGCTCTGCTCCCGGCTCCAGCTTCCCTGACACACAGCCGGGAGGCAGCAGACGGCGGTCCCTGCACCGAGCTCCCGACCCTCAGCTCAGGACCCACCCGGGGCTGCCCTGGGCACCGGTGGACGGGAGCCCTTTCTCTGCCTCTCGATTACGAAGAAAACAACGCACACCCCAGAAGGGCCCACATTCCACAAGGGCTTCTGGCTGAGCCTGGTGCCCATGCGGCCACAGGACAACGGAACCTGGTGCCAGCAGTCCACCCGGGTTGTCAGGGGTCACAGGCAGTGGCGACTCCTCCCAGAGGGAGGCACTGCACTGGCCACGTGGTGGGGCCACACAAGCCACAGGGCACCACAAGCAGGCTCGTCTGCCGTCAGGAGGCCCGGCCAGGGCCCCAGAGTCAGCGTCTCAACAGCTGAGAACCGGGGTGGGGACTGCGGGATCAAGACAAGGAGACACCAAACCCGAGGCGGGCGGGGGCCCTGTCAGGCCCCGGTCCGGAGCAGGTACACCTGGGGAAGCCCTGGGCGGCACTCGGGCGCCGCTGGCTTTGCAGGCGTGTGGGCAGTGAACCACGGCATGAGACCCCGACCCCTGCCTGTCTGTCTGCCTCTCGCCTCCCAAGTGAAACAGGGGCAGGGGAGCCTCGAGGAGACGGGGCGCGCGGGCTGTGACGTGCTCAAGGTGGCGTCCCGGGACGCTGGGACGCACGGTCTCCTTCCTCTCCGTTCCCTGCCGAACGCTGTCAAGATGGAAGACCTCAGCAGCTCTGTTCGGGGCAGAGCCCGTGAGAGCGGCCACACAGGCGCTGCACTCCCTCAGCCTCCCCCCTCCCCCGCCTCTGGGAGGCCCCTCCCCCAAGTCCACAGCCCCCACCCGCCCAGCACTTGGCCGACCGTCACTTCTCAGACCTGGCCGGACAACAGCAAGTCCCGGGGCCTGGCGCCGTGGGGCTTGGGCACCCGCCTCCCACAGCAGGCGCCCCCGAGAAGGCAGAATTCAGCTCGCGTCCCCGCGTCTCTGCCACCCACGTGGGCTCCCGGCTCCAGACAGGGCCTGGCCCCCTCTCTCACTGTGCCTTTCAAATAAGTCTCAACAGGACGATGGCAACTCCCAACACACACGGAACATGCACACGCACGCGCACACCCACACGCAAGGCACCCACACACACCTGTACCCCCCCACACACCCACACCTGCACCCACACGGAACATGCACACCCACACGGAACGTGCACACCCACGCGCACACCCACACGCACAGGGAACGTGGCACGCGTGCTCTAGCCGCACCCCCAGCACCCTCCACGCTCCGCGGCTTCCCGGCGCCGTCCGTCGCTCCGCAGCCCGCTCGGCGCTCGCGGCACGGGCAGCGCTCGTTTCGTTCCTTCCGAGACCCCGGCTGCCCTCCCAGCCACCTCCCTGCCTATGCACCCGCCTGGGCCGGCCACCCACGGCGGGGTGGGGCGCAGGGAGGCACCGAGGCTCCCTCTCTCCGGCTCTGCCTTTCAGACCAAGCCGAGAAACACCACTCCTGGGGCTGAGGCTAGCTCGGCGTCCCGAGACGGTGCGACGCCGCAGAGGCGGGGCCGCGCAGGCTCCACAGCACCCAGGGGCTGCAGGCAACGCCACACGCGCGGACCACACGTCTCCTGGCTCGGGGTGCGCGTGCCAGCCAGAGGCGTCCGGCGCCGGACCCCGCCGCGGGCACGGCGGGCAGGGGGCGCAGCGGCCTCCTCGTCGGCGTCGCACTCACCGGACACGGGCGAGGGCTCCCTCTTGGGCTGCAGGCGGCTGGTCTGGGGCAGGAACGGGTTGTTCAGCCTGCGAGAAAGGCCAGGGTCAGCGGGGAACGCGCCGGGCCGCCCGGAGCCCGCCGCACGCTGGCCGCTCACCCGAACGTGTTGGGTTCCTCCACCACCTTCATCTTCACGGCGCCTGCCGGCGCGGACCCTGCGGGGAGCGAGGCGGTGAGGGCGAGGGGCGGCGAGCGCGCCAGGGACGGGAGCGCGGGCGTGGGGCACTCACCGCGCGCCGCGAGCCCCAGCAGCAGCAGCAGCAGGACGCGCGCCGGGGCCGCCGCCATCACCCAGCTGCACGTCACGGGAGCGCCGGCGCACGAGTGACGTCACCTGAGCGACCGGAACCCGCGGCGGCGGCGCTCGCGCTTGCGCAGACGCCCTCGCGGGGCCGCTGCCCGCCGTGAGCCGCCGGAGGGGCGCGCGAGAGGCCGGGGGCGCGGGCCGGGGGTCGCTCAGCGCGCGCCGCGAGCCACAGCAGCAGCAGCGATAGCAACAGCAGCACGACGCGCCGCGGACCCGCAGCCATCGCCCCGCTGCACGTTACGGAAGCGCCGGCGCGCCAGTGACGTCACCCGGGCGACGGGAACCACGGCGGCGCCCGCGCCTGCGCAGACGCCCACGCGGACCGGCTGCCAGCCATGGGCCGCCGGAGAGGCGTGCGAGGGGCGGCGGCCGCAGGCGGCCGCGATCGGCGAGCCCCGGGCCGCTCCCTGAAGGCCTTCGCCGAGGACATGGGCGCCGCGCTGCCTGGTGAGTGTGGGCCGACCCGTGGACGGACGGGCAGGCGGCCGGCCCAGGGAACCCCCGCTGAAGCGCAGGTCCCTTCTCTCTCCTGGTGCAGCGCCCGCGGAGGCCGACGGCGGCGCCGGCCCGGCAGCGCTGCCCTGCGTGCTGGCCATGTGGGAGCTGGGGCACTGCGACCCCCGGCGCTGCACGGGCCGCAAGCTGGCCCGCCTGGGCCTGGTGCGCTGCCTGCGCCTGGGCCGCAGGTTTGCCGGGCTGGTGCTCAGCCCCGCGGGCGCCCAGTACGTGTCCCCCGCAGACAGGTAGGCGTGGGCGCCCGGGGTGCGTGGCGGGTCGGGGCGCCCGCCGAACCTGCGCCCCTGCTCCGGTTTCGTCCGCGCGGGCGCTGTGCCCCCACTGCAGGCCGGGGCCCGCGCACGGGAGCGCCAGGCACCCCGCGCCAGCGCCCCGGGGGCGTTTGCGGCCGGGCGGTGCCTTCCGGCCCTGACGTCCCCCGCCGCCTCTGCGGTCCCTGGCAGACAGCTCGTGGCACAGGCCGGGGTCGCCGTGATTGACTGCTCCTGGGCCAGGCTGGACGAGACCCCTTTCGGGAAGATGCGGGGGAGCCACCTGCGCCTGCTGCCCTACCTGGTGGCCGCCAACCCTGTCAACTACGGCCGGCCCCGCAAGCTGTCCTGTGTGGAGGCGTTTGCCGCCGCCTTCTGCATCGTGGGTGCGTCTCCCGGCCGGCGGCCCCGGGCGGACGGAGGGGCTCTGGGCAGGCGCACCCGAGGGTTCCGTGTCCACGCTGAACACCGCCTGCAGGGCTGGGGGTGGGCTCCTCCGGGCAGGCCCCAATGGGGAAAGCCTGGGCCTGGGCAGACTCGGGCTGCGGCCCCCTGTGCCCCCAGGCCTCGCGGAGCTGGCCGGCCTCCTGCTGCAGAAGTTCAAGTGGGGCCAGGGCTTCCTGGACCTGAACCAGCAGCTGCTGCAGACGTACGCGGCCTGCCAGGGGCCCGAGGACGTGCTGCGGGCCGAGCAGGAGATGCTGGCCAGCGCCGAGCACGGAGCCCAGGAGCCGGACATCGGTGAGGCCTGGGGAGGCGGGGGGTGGTGGTGGTGGTGGTGGTGTGCGTGTCCCTGCCCGGAGCCCACTGGGAGCTCAGCTCCCCCCACTCCATCGCCGCAGATCCCTTCGACGTGGATTCGGGGCGAGAGTTTGCGAACCCCAACAGACCTGTGGCCAGCGCCCGGTAGGTCCTCGGGCCGCCCCACTTCGCCCCAGCTCAGAGCCAGCGCTGCCCTTGGCCCCTGCTACTGGGGAGGGGGTGTCTGGCGGGAGCGGGTCTGGTTTAGAAAGAACTGGGAGGGAGAAGTCGGCCCCCAGGGGCTCCGGGGCGGCGGGCGGCAGGGAGGGCCCTCGGGCTGGCCAGGACATTTCCGGCCCCTCCCCCCCAGGCTGCCCGCCGAGGACTCGGATGACGACTCGGGCGACAGTGACGAGTCTGATGCCGAGAGCGGGACAGACAGCAGCAGCTGCTCCGGAGACGGGGACCCAGCTGCCCGGGGGGCCGAGCGGCGGCGAGCGGACGCGTAAGGAGACGCGGAGCCGGAAGCTGCACACACTGTATTGTCGCGGGCGGGCGGGGCGGGCACTGCGCAATGAAGCTGCCGGCCAAGGCCCAGCGTGAGCCTCTTGCTTCCCCACGCGGCTGAGGGAGACCCCGCCCAGCGGAGGGAGCCGGGTGGCCACACGCGTGGGCACCAAGGGAGCGGCTGACCGCCAGCCTGGGGAGCCGTCCACGAGGGCAGGGGGCCTGCGCGCGTCCACGCTGGGGGTCCTGGCCTCTGTCGGGTCTGGGGCTGCAGGGACCACCTCCCTCCAGAGCCCCCGGCCAGGTCCCCGCGGGGCCACTCCGACGCCTGGGGCCACACCCTGACGCCGCCTGTGGTTTCCTGGGGAGCACAGCACCCCAGGGCCAGGCCTGTCCTAGCGGGGCGCGCTGGGGCATGAGGGTCACAGCGTACACCAGAGATGCAGACAAGCAGGGTGTGCCACAGCACTCAGCACTCAGCACACAGCGGTGGGGGGGGGGGCGCCGGGTGCCGCGGGGGGCCTCAGGGGTCCGCCTCCATGCACTTGTCCATCTCCTTGAGTCTCTTGACGAACTCCTGGGCCTCCCTGTTGGCCCGGCCTTCCAGCATCCTCAGCGCAGACCTCACTGCGGGGCGGGCGGGAGTCGGGCATGTGGGAGCCCCGAGGGCCTGGGCGCCCTCACCCCCCCGCCCCGCCCCCCGCGCCCAGCCGTCTGCTCACCTTGGGCCCTGGGCCGGCGCAGGTGCAGGGTGACCGGCTGCGCGGCCCTCGCGGCGCCTCCCGCCTGCGGCCGCGCCACGCCGCTGACGCCGCCCAGGCCGAGGGCCGCCTCCCCCGCGAAGTCGTTGGTGGACAGCCAGTCGTGGTCCATGACGGTGAACAGCACGCAGGCGCCGCGGCGGCGGCACGCCTCTGCGGGCACGGAGCTGGGGGCCGGAACGGAGGCGTCAGGCGGGCGGGGGCGGGGGGCGGGGCCCGGAGCTGGGGGCGGGGGCGTCAGGGCTGGCGGGCAGGGGCGGGGCCCGGAGCTGGGGGCGGAGGCGTCAGGGCGGGGGCGGGGCCCGGGGCTGGGGGCGGAGGAGGCGCCGGGGCGGCCGCGCACTCACAAGTGGAAGAGCTCGTCGTAGACGGGGTGCAGCGTGCGGGCCTTCACCTGCGTCTTCTGACTGCGCACCAGCGGGAACAGGTGCGGCGGGCCCAGCTCCACGATGACGAAGGGGTCGCTCAGGCCTGCGGGGCGCTCCGTGAGCTGCCCGCCCGCCGCCGCGCCGCGCCGCGCCGCCCCGTCCCGTCCCGCCCCGCCGCCGCCGCGCCTCACCGTTGGCGTCCAGGGGCAGCAGGTCGGCCGCGTGCAGCACCTCCACCGCCAGCCGCTGCTCGGCCGCCTCGTAGTGGCAGCGCACGCTCAGGCGGCCGAAGCGGTTCTGCCCCAGGGACCCCTGCGGAGAGGCGAGTGAGCGCAGCCGGGGCCCCGCGGGCCGCGCCCCCGCACCCGCCGCCCTACCTGCTTGAGCTTGTCCAGGTAGAACTGCTCGATGCACTCGCGCGTGGAGCACTGGTGCAGCCGCAGCTCCTCCTCCAGCCTCTGCGGGGGGGGGGCGTGACGTCACGGCCCGCCGCGCCCCGACCCCGACCCCCGCGGAGGGCGGGCCAGGCCTCACCTTGTAGCTCCCATCTCTCAGGCTCTCCAGGGGCAGGCCCTGGCCCTCGGCGTGGAAGAAACCGACCAAAGCCTGGGGCAGGGGAAGATGGACACCGTCGCGGGGGCCGGGGTCGGGTGGAGCCGCTTCTCGGGCCCGGGGCGCATCGGGGCCCCGTGGAGGCTGGAGAGCGCCTGCACCTGAGGCCAGCCAGGTGGCCGGACGGGCTGTGAGGGGAACGGCCAAGGGCAGACCCTCCTGGGATGGGGGCCGGCTCGCACCCACCTCTAGCGTGAAGTGGAATCGGCCGTAGAAGTCAGCGGAGACGTCGCGGTTTGCCCCCAGCGCCTGCAGAATCGCCTGCAGCAGCAGCTCCCAGAGGGCCTCCAGCACCCTGCGGGGGCCCCGCCTCAGCCACGTGCCCGCCCGGCCCCGCCCCGCCCAGCCACGGGCCCGCCCCGCCCAGCCCCTCTTCAGCCACGGGCCCCGCCCCGCCTCAGCCACGTGCCCGCCCGGCCCCGCCCCTCTTCAGCCACGGGCTCCGCCCCTCCTCAGCTACGTGCCCGCCCGGCCCCGCCCCTCCTCAGCCACGGCCCCGCCCCCCCTCAGCCACGGGCCCCGCCCCGCCCGCACCTGCTCAGGCTGTCCTTCACCAGGGAGGCGCTCAGCAGGGCCAGCTTCTCGTCCAGGTACTTCATGAGCGGGGCCACAGCCTGCGGTGGGAAGCCCGGCCAGGCCTCAGCGTGGACCCTGCCCACTCCTGGCACACGCTCCCCACGCCGGCCCGGGCCTCACCCACCTCGTCGTTCTGAATGGAGTCAGGAGACAGGCTGATGTGCTGCACGTACTTCCTGACGTCACCGACCATCTGGGGGGGGGCACCACTCAGCACGCCGGGCAGGCGCACCTCCCACACCGGTCCCCGGCCAGCCCCCGCCCACCTTGGCCGTGAGGTGTGCGGTCACAGTGCCGGCCTCCCGCTGCAGGTCCTCGTCCAGGGCCTGCACGCAGCTGAGCAGGGGGCGGGGCAGCGCTGCCGGGGCCGCGGCGGCCCCCTCCGGCCACACCAGGCCTCGCAGCGCCTGCCCCGAAGCCTTGCGCACCTGCTCCACGTCGTTGAGCACCACGCAGAGCTGCAGAGGCGCGGCGGGGGGTGCTGAGTCGCCTCGCCCGGCCGCCGGCCGCCCCGCCGCCCCGCCAGCACTCACCGGCTCCTCGGCCGCCCCGGGCTGGCTGTCCACCTTCTTCCGAAGCAGCTCCACGTACAGGAGAGCGGCCTCGCACATGTCCTGCGGGAGGGCGGCAGAGCTGTGGGCGGGGCCTGGCCGCCCCCTGGTTGCGCCCCTCGCCCCTCGCAGCTGACCTGGCTGAGCTGGAGGCCCAGGGCCTGGGCCTGGGCGGCATCGGGCCACGCCAGGCGCGCCCAGAGCTCCTGCACGTGGCTGAAGCAGAGGCTGGCAGTGGCCGCGGAGCTGCTGTGCTTGGAGGAGGCGTCCACGGGCTCCAGCTGGGGGGGGGGGGGGGGGAGGAAGCGGCGTCGCTGGGGCCCTGGGCAAGCCCCGCCGCCCTGTGGCCCGGGCTCCACTCACCGCGTCCGCCTCCACGGCTCCCTGCAGCCGCCACTTGACCTGGTCCCGCAGCACCTGCAGCCAGAGCTTCACGGCCGGCAGGAACGGGACGTGGATGCCGGCCAGGGCCAGGGCGCGGCTGTCCCTGGGGGGGGGGTCAGAGGTCGGCTCCGGCTCGGGTCCCAGGGCCTGTCCTGGGGGCAGGGGGCGCTCACCGGCCAGGGATGCAGCCCCAGAAGCGCTGGGTGTCCGCCAGGGTCAGGTAGAGCTCCAGAAGCCCCGAGGCCACCTCAGGGGTCATCTTGGGGCCCAGCTCCTCCGTCAGCACCCACGCCTCCTCGGCCATCTGCCCAGCAGGCTGGGATCAGTGGGCGGCACGGGGAGGCCCCTCCCAGCCCCCGTACCAACGCCAGCGGGCGCCCCTCACCAGACGCTCCAGCTGCCGGAAGGTGAGGGTGAAGAAGTCCACCTTGAGGATGCTGCAAAGGACACACCTCAGCCCGGGCCCCCCCCACGCCCAGGCCCCCCACACACCTGGGCCCCCCCCACACCCGGGCTCCCCACACACCTGGCCCCCCCCACGCCCGGGCCCCCCCCACGCCCAGCCCACCACACACCCGGGCTCCCCACACACGCCCAGCCCGGGGCGCGGGCGGAGGGCCGGCCCACCTGTGGAAGAGGCTGGCGTAGACGCCGTAGCAGGACTGCAGGTCCTCGTACACGGTGTCCACCAGCTTGATGAGCCCGGCCAGGCGCTGCGGCCCCGGCTGCAAGAAGCCCGGCTTGCACGGAACTGGCCTGCACCCCGCACCCCACAGGCCCGACCCCACACCCTGCGGCCTGGACCCCCAGACCCTGCTCCCCACAGACCCGGCCCCCCTGAATCCTGCACCCCACAGCCCTGGACCCCTCATCCCACACCCCACAGGCCCGGCCCCCCAGGACCCTGCTCCCCACAGGCCTGGCCCCCTGGACCCCTCATCCTGCTCCCCGCAGGCCCAGCCCCCTGACCCTGCTCCCCACAGGCCTGGACCCCTGGACCCCTCATCCTGCTCCCCGCAGGCCCAGCCCCCTGACCCTGTTCCCTGCAGGCCTCACCCCCCCCCCCGACCCGAGCCACACCTGCTCTCGAGGGCTCTTGGCACTCAGGAGTCTATCGTACCAATCATGGTTGCCTCTCTGCAGCAGAAGAGGGAGACACGGGCAGGGGGCTGGCACAGAGCAGGACTGGGGGGGGGTCTCCGCGCAGCCCACGTGGGGCCCCCCACACCTTCAGAGCGGCGGCAATGTCCATGTTCAGCTCCGTCTCGAACGGGCAGATCTCAAAGGACGGCTGGAAGAGCTGCAGCTTGTCCAGACACCTGGGGAGGACGGCGATGAGCCCCGCCCCGCCCCCACCCAGCGCCGCCGCGCCCACCGGCACCCACTTCAGCAGCAGCTCCAGGCGGTGCACGGCCGTGCTGTTGGTGGCAGGGAAGTAGTGGCGGAGCTGGCGCAGCAGCCGCAGCCCAAACTCGGAGAAGGCGGAGAAACTGTCAGCCAGGCTCTCCTCCTGGGGGAACAGCAGGTGTGGCTGTCCCAGCGTGTGCTGCACCTGTGTCGTGCCCGCGGCTGCTCTCCCCCGACTCCCTGTGCACCTGTCAGGTCGTCAGCCGCTCCGCCTCACACCCACCTGCTCCTGGGGCAGCGATGCCGCCTCCTCCCAGTGCGCCTGCATGTCCTCCAGCAGCCCCAGCAAGTAGCCGTAGTCCAGCGTGCGGGTCTGATGGTGGCGGCTGCTGACCTGCCAGTGCCTGTGGGCGGGGCCCCGGGCCGGGTGGTCCAGCGGCATCCCGCCCCGCCCACCCGGAGGCCCTGCCCGCCCGCGGCCCCGCCCACTCACAGCACGGCCAGCTGCAAGGGCGACAGGTCGCTCTGGGCTCCGTGGAGGCAGAGGACGGTGGTCCCGGGGCCGCTGAGCTCGCCGCGCCAGCTGCTGGAGTCGGGCTGGGGGAGGCGGCGGGGCGTGGGCGTGGGCAGGCCCCGCCCCCACCCGGGGCCGGGGAGGGGGGCGCCTACTACCTCCTGGGCGCGGTGCTCGAAGCGCAGCACGCGGCTGAGCAGCAGCAGGTAGGACAGGAAGCCGGAGCGCCCGCGCTGGCTCATGACCGTGTCCCTCTGCAAAGCACAGCCCCGGTCACCGGCGCCGAGCCCGCGGGGCGGGGCGGGGCGGGGCGGGGGCTCCCCAGTGCGCACCTGCGTGGTGACGAGCTTGAGGACCAGGTGGCAGTCTCCCTGCACGCGGGAGGCGCTGGAGCGCGGCTCCAGCTTGAACCAGCGGTCGACGCCGGCCACGGGCACCTCCTGCGGGAGGCAGGGGTCAGACCCGGGAGCCCTGTCCCTTCTCCCTCCCGCCAGACCCTGGGTGGGGAGGGCTGGGCTCAGCTTCCCTCCTCCTGGGGAGCAGGCGAGCGAGCGTGCCGCCCCGCCCCCACCCGTGCTCCGGCATCGGGGCTGCCCCGCCCCCACGCACCCTGACGGGGATGTTGAGGCAGCCCAGGAAGTCGTCGGTGTGGTCCTCGGCGGGCCCCGCCGTCCCGTTCGCCCGGGCCGACTTCACGATCTGCTTGAAGTACCTGGGGGGTGCAGGGTGGGGGTGGGCCGGTGTCCCCGGGGACCCACCGCCCAGCAGGGTCCCCCACTGCACCTGCTCATGCCCTTCAGGCCGATGACCTCGTTCAGCTTCCTGCAGGCTTCTGCCAGGGACACGTCATCGTCATGGTCCCTGGGGACGGGGGGGTGGGGTGGGGATGGACCGGCCTCGTCTGCAGCCCCCCCCCCCCCGCCTGGCCCAACTGCTCCACTCCCCAGACCAGGGGCCCCACTGCCCTGCCCTGCGAGGCACAGGCCTGTACCAGATGTCCAGGTGCAGCTGGTCCGTGTGCACGTCCTGGATCTCGCTGTGGGGGACAGAGTCATTGTCAGGCCCCCTCCCAGGGCAGGGGCAGCGGGGAGCCGGCGCGGTCCTGACTCCGCTACTTGTCACCGCCGCAGGGGTGGCCCCGAGCGCCTGGCGCCCCTCCCGAGAAGCGGCACGGGGCCGGCGGGGGCTCACAAGAGGAAGTGCTCCTTCCACTCGGGGTTCAGGGTGCTGCTCTTGACCTCCGTGACCTGGATGCAGCGGGCGGGCAGGGGGCCGCTGCGCCTGCCGCTCTTGCGGAAGCCGAAGCGCTGCTCCTTCTGGCCGCCGGGCTCGCGCGGGGCGCCCGAGGCGGGCAGGATGCCCAGCATGCAGTAGGGGTCGCTGAAGCCTGGGGCGGGCGGCAGGGCCTCAGCGCCGTCCACACCTGCCGCCCGCAGCCGCCGGGCGCCAGCCCCCACTCACCATTGGGGTCTTTGGCCAGGAGGTTCTTGGCACGCATGACGGAGACTTTGAGGGCGTAGGTGGGGGCCTGTGGGCACAGGGGCCTCCTGCACACCCTGTCCTGCAGGGCCTGCCACAGCCCCGCCCGGAGCCCCCGGTCGGCACGTGCCCAGGTGCACGGTGGCCTTACCTTGGCCTTCTTCACACGCTCAATGGCTTCGCCGTGCTCCTCGGGGCTGGTGCCAAACACCTGTGGAAGGGCTGGATGACCCCCGGGTGGGGCTGCCGCTGCCCCCGGGGCCCTCACTAGGAACGCCCCACCGCAGGGGCTGCAGGGCAGGAGGGCGAGCCTGTGCACCCTAGGGTGGGGGTGTGGTGAGGGCCAGGGACGCGCACGTCCAGAGCTGGTCGTGGTGTCCAGGCTGGGGTGGGGGAGCGGACGGCACACAGGTGGGGAGGCCGGGTTCCCCTCCCCGGCCCGTTTGTTGCGTCCTCTGTGTACGTGTGACTGTGTGTCTGTCCAGCTTTTCCTGGAGGGGCCTTCAAAATGGACATTGTGGAAAAGCGGCACGGGTTTCCAATGCTCTGCGCGGAACTGTGACTCCCACACCCGCCCTCCTCTCGGCCCCGCCTCGGGGCGCGGTGTTGGGCCGGTGGGGGCTGACCTGCCGCAGGTAGCCCAGGAGGGTCTCCTCGTCGTCCACCTGGTCGGGGCCCATGGTCCCTGCCCGGTAGAGGACGGTGTACAACGCCTCCTCATACAACATCTCCACCTTGGGCAGAAAGGGGGTGGGGGGCCGAGCTGGGCCACAGCAGGGGCGCGGGGACTCCTGGCCACGCCAGCCCCTGCTGCAGCACCTTGGCGCCTGCCCGCCTCCCTCCAGCCTGCACACAGGAGGTGCTGCTGCGAGGCTGGGGGCGCCTCCCTGGGCCCAGGCCCTGTCCTGCAACTTTACCTCCTCCCGGGTCAGGGCTCTCAGGCCGCGGTTGGGGTCCACGGGCTCTGCCGGGGCTGGAGAGCCACTGCGCAGCAGGACCTGTGAGGGAGCCGGGGTGAGCCTCGGCGCTCACCGGGGGCCGCCCCCGCGGCTGGGCCCCGGCAGGTGCCCCACAGCAGGGCATCCTCACCTCAGGGCTCGGCAGGCCCTGTCTGCCTTCCCCCTTCCTCACGATGGCGCGCATCTGGGCGAAGAACTCCGCGCCATCCCCGGGTTTCCTGGGAGGAAGCCCTGGTCAGCTCTGGGCTCACGGCGGTGCTGGTCCCCGCTCGGGGCTGGGGGCACTTGAGGGTCCCCCTGGGGCGCCCGCAGCCTGGAGCCCAGCCCTCCCAGCTCAGGCACCCACCAGGCACCCACGACGGCCTCCTGCGTGTCGGCGCTGGCGCTGCCCGGCTCCTCGGCCCTGCGGCGGAACGACGGGCACACCTGCACCTGCCTGAGCACACTGCTCTTGATCTCCAGCAGGGTGGACATGGCGGCTGCCTGCGGCGAGAACACGGCCGCGTCAACCCCCTGCCCACGGGGGGACGGGTAAGCTCTGTGTCCCTTTGCAGGGTGGCTCCGGGCATTGGCGGTGTGTGCTGTCCACGATGAGGTCAGCGCCGGGCTTCACTGGGGAGGGGCGCGCTATACCGTATTCTGTCCCCACAGACCCCCGTATGCCTGGGTGGGACCCTGGGGAGGTGGGAAGCGTGCGTCTCCTGTGGCTCTTGACAGGACCAAGGTGTTCAGAGCAGTGCCCAGTGTCCTCTGGGGCCAGGGAGGTGCCTGGTGCCCGCTGCCTCTGTACAGGAGGTCAGAACCCAGCCCAGAGGTGTGGCCCCCCAGCTGGGGAGCAGAGGGGCAGGTGGCCCAGGAGCGGGGCAGGGTGGGCAGCTGCTCCAGTGGCCAGGAGGGAGCTGTTCCGGGACCCTCACCGGCACCCGGCACCCTGGCAGACTGGGATCCCTCACATCACCGCAGTGCCTACACCAAGGGGCGCCTGGGTCCCCACATCACTGAGAACCGGAGTCAGCGGTGCCCAAGCCGGCAAACGCCGGGGCCCGCCCTTCCCGTCCATCAGCGGCCAGCACCTTCGCTGCTATGGCAACGGAGTCTCTCTGCTGCCCCCTGTAGGCGCAGCAGGAGCAGCGCAGCTGTCGCGGCTCGCGCGGAAGGTGGCCCTGGCCCCGCCCCCATGCACCTGCTCCAACCCTGTGGGGACCGGGCTCAACCTGGGCAAGCCTGCAGCCCTGGGAGGGGCTGGGAAGCAGAGGAGACAGGGCGGCCGCCGAGGTGGGTGCCAGGAGCACCCGGTGTGTGGGAGAACATCTGCCCGTCCCAGGCAGGCCAGGGCTCGGCGGGGGATTCTTGCTGCAGTGGCAGCTCGCAGGTTCCCGCTGTCTCCCCCTGCTGGCCCCATGAGGAAGCACGGGCTGGGGTCGACGCCCCGTGGCCTGTGGAGACCCCTCTGCCGAGCCCCCAGCCCCCTGTCGCACAGCAACCTCCAGCCTGTGCCTCTGCCACGCGGGGGCCTCCCCTCGGGCTGCCCAGCGTCGCTGGCCTGTGGGTGACAAGACACTGTGCCCAGGTGGCCCCAGGACCTTGCACCTGCTGTCTGGCCTGCCTCCTTGATGGCCCTCGGGCCAGCGCCTCAACCCCAGCAGGAGCCCCATCACCGCGCCGCACAGCAGACAGGAGGAGCTCTTTGCGCGGGGCCCCAGTAGGGCAGTGGGAATGGGGCAGCCAGGCTGGACTCTACCCTGGCGCTGGGCCCGATGCGGGTCCCTCCCTGAGCACAGTTCAGCCGGGAGCTGGCAGTGGGCACACCTGTGGGCAGCGTAGTGCTGAGCCAGCTCCCTGTTCCCCAGTGTCCGCCTGCCTGGCCCAGGTGGCCATCGCTGGCCTGCCTCCCCTCCCCTCCCCTCCCCGGCCCCAGGTCAGGCCACCAGCCTTCAACAGTGCCTCATCGGGACCCTGTGCTCCCTCGCGAAGTCTGGTAGCCCCTGGGTGCTGGGCCGGGGTGCTCCCAGAGGGAGGGGATTGGCCATTCCCACCCGCCTGGCCGGTCAGGACCCAGGCCTCACCCCAAGGCTGTCAGGGCTCCCACCGTGCGCCTGGCCGGGGGTATAGAGCCTCTAGAAGCTGCTGCCCCCACGACGGGTCCTGAGAGCCCCGAAGCCAGGAGCCACAGGACCCGCGCCCCTCCGGGACTGAGTGCAGTAGGTGCCCCCCCGGGGGGCCAGCGGAGCAGCCGCTGCCTGAGCTGTTGCCAGGGCAACCGCCAGCAGCACCGCGTCTGTGTGCCCGGCTGTGGGGGCTCGCGGTCCGAGACAAACGTGACGCAGGAGCTGAGCGGCCGGGGCTGCCTTCTGGAGGACGCGACAGCCACGCAGCGAGGGCGCCAGCACCCCGGGGGCACCCTCCGCAGCAGGGGTCGGGGTGCCGGGCTTGGGACCCCACCCCTGGACACAGAGCGCGCGGCAGCCGCGTCCAGGGCTAAGCCGTGAAGTCCTGGAGAGCAGGGGCAGCTCCCACCTCCCGCTCAGCCATGGCCGGGACGGGGCAACAAGTGTGCGCAGGCGTGGGGAGAGGCTCCACTTTCCCTGGAAGCCCGGGCGGCCAACACTCCGGCCCCAGCCCGCTCTGGCCAGGGACCCGAGTGCAGCGGCGGCACTCGTGAGCGTGCTGGGCGCAGGTGACACAGAGCAGGACCTGCCACATCGCGTCCAGCCACCAGCACGGTCACAGCTCCCACGTGTCCAGCGAGCAAGCGAGGGCTTGCCACGGAGCTTCAGCCAGGCCAGCTCTGGGGCTCCCTGGCTGTCCCAGGCCTGGGCTGGACAGGGGATGATCAGAGCCAGGATCCAAACCCAGGACTCGGGTTGCACGGTGTCCTGCCTGCCATGGTGTTTGGGGGCTTGGTGGCAGCGGGGCAGCTGAGCAGAGCGGGGTCTCCCTGCTGGTCAACACATTTCGGTGCCAGGGGCAGGGGCGGCGCACTCCTGCCCCCCTCCGACCCCTGCCCTGGTCCTGGACGCACCTCGCTGCTTGCCAGACACCCTCTGCATGGCCGGGCAGTGCCCCAGCGCAGGTCACCTGCTGTGCCCGCTGCGAATGCGCTCCCTGGGGTCTCAGCCCAGCCTGACCCCGGGAGGGGCCCGGGAATCTGCACTTGAGCAAGCCGCTGGCCCCGGACCTCGCGGTGCCGAAGCTTCCAGCGCGCGCGCAGAGGCGTGACCGTCCCCGCCGCCTCTTCTCCAGGGCCCTCGCCTGCGTCCGAGCGGCGTCCCTCCCGCTCCCCGGGCTGCTGGGAAGGGGCTGTGGGGTCGGCCTGGGGCCGAGCAGAGCCGAGCCGCGGCATAACCCTCAGCCCTCCCCAGACGCTCCTACCGCGACGGCCGCGCGCGGACCGGGGAGGGGGTGCTCACGCAGCAAGCGGGGCTCTCGGGAGACCGAGGGGGTCCCTGGAGGCCCGCGGGAGGGGCGAGGGCCTGGGGGCGTTCTCCTGGCCGCCGGCCCGCGGGTTGGGCTGGGGCGCCCCCGCGCGCTCTCAGGCCCGCCCCGAGGGAGCGCGCATGGCCTCAGTTTCCCCAGGGCTGAGCGCGGGGTCCGTGTCGCAGGCACAGGGTCCGGGGTCGGCCCGCGCCTATGCGTCCGTCAGTCCGGGAGCAGTGCGGGGCCGAGCCCCGACGGCACCAGGGGAACGCGCGGCACTCACCGTGGCGCGCGGGGTCCTGCGGCGCCAGCTCGGGGGCGCAGGCACCGCGACCGCTCTCCTCCGCGCGCGCCGGGGACTGAGCCGGGCGCGGGGCGGGCGCGGGGCGGGGCCTGGCTGCGCCCGGAGGAGGGGCTCCGGGCCGGCCCCGGGCCTCGGCGGGGCTGGGAGGGGTCCTGCGGCGCGGGCCAGCTCGGGCGCTGGCGCAGCGGGTGCTCGGGTGGGTGCGGGGCGGCGAGGTCCGCCCTGGGGGGCTGTCGGTGGGGCCGCCCGTGTCGCCGAAACGCAGACTGTTTGCGAGGGCCGCGCAGCCATCCAAGTGCAGCCCTCCGCCCAGAGGTGCCCCTGCACCGGCCAGGACGGGCTCGGGTCTGGGGACTCCGTCCCCGGGCCTGACCGCTGGCTTCTCTGAGGGCTCTGCCTGTTCAGGGGGCGTGTCCCGCCGACGTCGCCAGGGGACACCCGCCCCAGGCCTGGTCACTGCCTGCCCGCTGGACAGCTGTGGAGCCCGTTGGGGTCCCAGCCCCGCTTCCCGGCTCGGCCTCCACCCAGCTGCACCGACTCCGAGCTTGCTGAGACAGGTGGCCTGGGTCTGGGCTGGGGCTGACCACCCCATCAGTCCCTGGCGCCAGGGAGCATGGGACCGGGCTTGGCAGAGCGACGCCTGGACTCCTCACCCAGCACCCCTGCAGGCCGACTTTGCACAAACTTGCACACCAAGGGCCTGCCCCTGAGGTCCAGTGCAGCACTGGCCCTGAGGCGAGACCCGTCCAGCTTGGAGTCGGGGGCCAGCTGAGCGCGGGCCGTCCTCTCCTGGGCGCAGGGCGGAGAGCTGGGGGCGCAGGCTGCTTCTCCACCGGCCTCGGGGTGGGCTGCACGCTGCTGTGCTGGGGCCACCACGTTTCCACTTCTGGACCCCTCGGTATGTGGGGGGCAGGACCAAGCCAGGCCTGGCTAATGTGGGGGGGCTGCCTGAGACAGGGGAGTCAGGTGGGCAGGGAAGGGCCCTGTGCCCCCGGCTGTGTGCGGGGTCTTGCAGCTGCGTCAGGTTCTGCCAACCTGAGAGCAGGGGCCTGGTTGCCATGGAGATGGTGATGGCTTCGGGAGAAGGGATGGCTGCAGCCTGTAAACAGGAAGTGAGGAGGGGCCGGAGAGGCTGCGTCCCCCCCAGCCCAGAGGCGGGCTGGGCCCCAGGAGACCTCACTCCACTCGGGCAGGTAGGGAGCCAGAGGTGGACAGGAAGAGGCTTCCCCAGCCCCAGGCGGCAGGCCAGGCCCCAAGACGCTCCCTCCACAGGCGTGCAAGGTGCACAGTGCAGGGGAGGCTGCCTCCTTCCCAGGTGGGCAGTGTGTGGGGGGAGGGGCTGCCTCCTTCCCAGATGGGCAGTGTGTGGGGGGAGGGGCTGCCCCAGCAAAGGTGGGCAGTGTGGGGGGAGGGGCTGCCCCATCAAAGGTGGGCAGTGGGGGGGGGCCTGCCTCCTTCCCAGGTGGGCAGTGTGTGGGGGGAGGGGCTGCCTCCTTCCCAGGTGGGCAGTGTGTGGGGGGAGGGGCTGCCCCATCAAAGGTGGGCAGTGTGGGGGGAGGGGCTGCCCCATCAAAGGTGGGCAGTGTGGGGGGAGGGGCTGCGTCCTGCCCAGGTGGGCAGTGTGGGCGGGGGCTGCCTCCCCAGGTGGGCCGTGGGGGGAGGGGTTACTGAATGCGTATGCGTCGACCTGGGGCAGAGCCCTGGCACCCGCCCACCCCTGCCTGTTTCCCTCACCTTTGGTGAGCAGTGTGGCAGCCCACAGCTGACCCCACTGGGACCAAGCCAGTGTTAGCAGCAGGGGGGCAGGGGGCTGCTGCCCCCTCGCCCTCGGGTGTGACCCCCGCCACCCGCAGCCTGCACCCTGGCTGGGATGGCCTGGCTTCGGGACGGTGGGCACTGAGCCTCAGCAGGTCCAGACGGCCCCGCAGCGCCCCGGCTCGGGGCCTGCCGAGTGCCGCCCTCTGGTGGCAGCCCCTGGCGTTGCAGGCGCCTCCTCCCACAGGTGAAGCTGACCAGGCCCCAGGGCTGAGGCGGGCAGGGACTGGCGGGGCCACCGAGGGCCCCAACTGTCTCAGGAACCCTCGGCAGCCCCGCCTGCACCCTCGGGGAGCAGAGGGGGCCCCAGACGCTGGCGTTCCCACACTGGGGCACTGGGGCTGGCCACCCACCCCGGGGGGCCCGAAATGCTGGAGCGGCAGAGGTGGGGCCCTGAGAGCTGAGAGCGGGAGGGCGGCCGAGGGTCTGGCCTCGCTGTGGCCCCGCCTGGGACGAGTGCCGGGGCTGCCTCCAGCAGGCACAGGACACACTTGGGGACCCAGCCCCAGCTGCAGGTCTCAGTGGTCTCAGACCCCCTCAGACAGGGGTCAGCTGTGCCGTGTGGCAGGACATCCCGCGGACCCCAGAACCCACCACTCCTAGGACCCCTCCCTGCTGGAGCTGGCTCAAACCAGTTCAAGCAGGTCCAAGTCAGCCGCACTGGGTCCTCCACCCCGCAACACGTCGTCATGGCAACTCAGCTGGAGCCTTCCCAAAGCCGACCCGGTGCTCATGGTGAGGTCTGGGCTCCGGAGCCCAGGTAGCCTGGGGTGGGCACACGGACAGGCACGGTCAGCCTGGACCACTAAGGCCCAGGAGCACCCACCCAGCAGGGTCCAGCCCCCACCCCGAGCCGCCTGGAGGCCGTTCCGTCTGCACCAGATAAGGAGGCCCGGCAGGTCCCGGACACACCATGGCCTTGGGCCAGGGCCAGGGCCGGGCAGCAGGAGCCACCCGCCAGCCACAGGGGCTCCCACGGCTCCGGGACCCGGGGCAGCTGGAGGACGCGCCCGAGGGCTGGTGTGTGCGGGGGTTTTCATCCAGGGATCCCACACAGCGCCCGCAGCCGGCCCACCCGGCTCCCCGCTGGCTAGGGGAGGAGCCCTCAGCGCCGTAACTTCACGATGCCTTTAACTAGAAAGTGTATTGAATTTCCATGTATTAACCACATACACGTGCAACTACACTACACGGCGTTCAGCGGTAACAAAGTCACAGCCCACAGGCTACAGAGCGCCCAGCTGCCTCCCCAGGAAGCCCCGCCTCAGGAACCAGCTGCAGACATCAGCCGTCGGCAAGGCCCGGTGCTGCCGCTGCCGCCACCGCCACCGCCACCACTGGCCACGCTGCAGGCCCCGGCCCCCACTTCCTCCGGGCTCAAGGCCACATCCGTGCCTGCTGGGCAGGGCGGCCAGGTCGCCGCCGGCCAGGCCGGGCAAGCCCAGGAAGGGGTCCACCGGGCCGTGGCACAGCCGCCTCTTGGGCCCCGGGGCGGGGCTCCCGCACGCGCCCAGTGACACGGCGCGAGGACGTCGTATAAACAGTTTATTGACCCTAAACAGCAACACAGACAAACGCCCCGTGAAGACGAGCGGTGTGCGGTGGGGACCGCCGGCCGGGCCGCGTCCCAGGCGCCTCGGCACACGGCCCGGGGCCGCAGGACGGCCGTGGGGGGCGGGCGCCGGCGGGGGGCCACGGCGCGGCACTGAAGCATGCTGCATCCGAGAGCGAGGGGACTAGCGCCTGGGGACTTGCCCGAGTATAAAAGTTTATCATTTTACAGCAGTTGAAATACTGACATCAATATTAAAATAAAAGCGAGTTTTACATAACAATCAAAAATACAAAAGACTGGAGGAAGAGACCCTGTGTGAGATTCGAGCACGGGTACAGCGGCGGCATGGCCCAGGCGCCCACCCGACCCCGGGTGACCAGCGGCGTACGGGGCAATCAGACCTGGACTGTAAACAAGTCCTCGCCACCCATCCCTTCCTGCGCGGGCTCCGCTTACGAGGGCGCGAACTTCTTGGCCTGTGCTCGAACCCTTTTCTCGTATTCCACTCTGTTTTGGCTGAGGAGGTGGAGGGAGAAGACACAGGTTAGGAGGGGCCCCGCTTCTGGCCGCCCCAGCAGGTGGGCAGCGCCCTCGGGTGGGGGCTCAGAGGCTGCCGCCCGGGACTGCCCGGGCCCTGGAGTCTACAGCTGTTCCAGGACACCGGGTCAGAGGCCCCCAGGAGGGCCCTGCACAGAGGCCAGGGGACAGGACAGCTCAGCTGTGCAGGGCAGCCCCGAGCCCTGCCCAGCGCGGGAGCCCCAAGGACAGAGGTGCCTGCCGGACAGCAGTGGCCCCCTGGGGCTTTGGGAACAAGGCACAGGGGCCTCCACCCCGCAGGCCCTCCCAGCACTGGGGCTGCTCTCTTGGCCCCGGCCCTGCAGGGGAAGCGTCTCCTTGCCTCCCCCCTGCCCCAGCCCCGGCCCTGCAGGGGAAGCGTCTCCTTGCCTCCCCCCGCGAGCCGGCACCACCACTAACCAGTAGATTGTGTAGGCCTCTGCCTGAGCCGGGTCCTGGATGTTTGGTTCATTTAGCAGTTCCTGGATTCCTAACAAGATCTGTGCGGAGACAGCACCACACGGGCGGGGTCAGGCGCCGGGGGCACAGCCGGCGCCGCCGCCCCAGCACGCCGGGCCTACCTGTTTGATGGTGATGGCCGGCCGCCAGTCCTTGTCCTCCTCCAGGATGGAGAGGCACACCGTGCCCGAGGGGTACACGTTGGGGTGGAACAGCGGTGGCTCGAATTTACCTGGGCCAGGGAGAAAGCAGAGGCTCCTGGGGAGGGGCCGGCGTCCTGGATGGGCACCTCGTGCGCCGGGCCTTCGGCCAAACGCTCCTCAGGTGAGCCGTGGCCACGAGGCGGCGGGCTCGCCACACAGCCAGGCGTCCGGCAGCAGGGCACAGGACCAACATGAGTCCCCGGCCAGCCTCTGCCGTGGGCAACAGCCTGAGGGGTGCCCCTCGGACAGGGACACGGCGGGGGGTCCCCGCACCCTCGCCCCAGCCAGGTCAGCACCAGCACCAGCCCCTGCAGGAAGCCAGGCCCCGCCTGCCTGCTCTGGGGGAGGCCGTGAGTTGAGGCCGCCCACCACCCTGACCTCCTACCCCACGGCCAGGGCAACGCCGCATGCACCCGGCCTCCGTGGCGCAGTGCCCAGAAGCCGGCCTCTGGGCCGCACACCCTGCACTGGGACCCACAGGAGGCCGAGCCCTCGCCTCCCACGGGGGGGTGGGTCAGGGCCTCCACCCTCAGACCCCAGCCCAGGTCTCCAGCCCCCGCCCACGCCAGCAGCTGGGGTCTCCCTCCCACACCAGCAGAGCCGGCCAGGCCGTCCTCTGGGTCTGGTGGACGTGCCGAGCCCGTAGTGGGGTTCACTCTGCCGAAGCGGCAGTTGCAGAGCGCTCGCGTGCCGCCGGCACCCACACGTGCTGTCCACACGCAGCCTCCGTGCCCCGCGGCCGGCTGGACTCGGCAGAGGGACGCTGAACCCCTCCAGGGACACCTGTGCCTCCGAACAGCAGAGGGCTGCCCGCTCGCGGCCAGTCCCCCGCGCGTGCACCCAGCACTGCTACACTTCCACCCCGGGCCCTCCGGGCCGGAGCAGGGGCTCCACGCTCCTCCAGGACTGCCACGTCAACCCATCCCGCGTGGACCCCAGGGGCTACCCTATGCTAACCCATCCCGCGTGGACTGGGGCTGTCCCGTGTCAACCCATCCCGTGTGGACCCGGGGCAGTCCCGCGTTAACACATCCCGCGTGGACCCGGGGCTGTCCCGTGTTAACCCATCCCGCGTGGACCCGGGGCTGTCCCGTGTTAACCCATCCCGCGTGGACCCCAGGGGCTACCCTATGCTAACCCATCCCGCGTGGACCGGGGCTGTCCCGTGTCAACCCATCCCGCGTGGACCGGGGCTGTCCCGTGTTAACCCATCCCGTGTGGACCGGGGCTGTCCCGTGTTAACCCATCCCGCGTGGACCGGGACTGTCCCGTGTCAACCCATCCCGTGTGGACCGGGACTGTCCTGTGTCAACCCATGCCACGTGGACCCGGGGCTGTCCCGTGTCAACCCATCCCGCGTGGACCGGGACTGTCCCGTGTTAACCCATCCCGCGTGGACCGGGACTGTCCCGTGTTAACCCATCCCGTGTGGACTGGGACTGTCCCGTGTCAACCCATGCCGCGTGGACCCGGGGCTGTCCCGTGTTAACCCATCCCGTGTGGACTGGGACTGTCCCGTGTCAACCCATGCCGCGTGGACCCGGGGCTGTCCCGTGTTAACCCATCCCGCGTGGACCGGGGCTGTCCCATGTTAACCCATCCCGCGTGGACCCCGGGGGCTGTCCTATGTTAACCCACCCCACGTGGACCGGGGCTGTCCCACGTTAACCCACCCCGCATGGACCCCGGGGGCTGTCCTGTGTTAACCCATCCCGCATGGACCCGTGGCTGCCTGTGTCAACCCATCCCGCGTGGACCGGGGCTGTCCCACGTTAACCCACCCCGCGTGGACCCCGGGCAGTGCCTGTCCACTCTGAACGTGTCCTCAGCCTTTTTTTCCCTGCACGTCCCTGCGCTGCCCACCACCCCTGGAGCGGCCACGGCTGGGGGTCCATTCCCATGCGGCACTGGGTGTCAGTGCAGGGACCTCGTCGACAACCACTAAGAACCCGGGTCTCGCAGCCCCTTCCCCCACAGCCACAGAGCTGCAGGTCAAGCAGACCACCCCTCCCACCAGGGCAGGGACCCCCACGTGCGGGTGTGGGCGCAGGCGGCCGGCGGGCCCCGGGCGACTCACATTTCGGGGGCGAGGACGGGTAGTCGTCTTTGAAAAGCATCCGCAGCTTGAAGAGGCCGCCCTCCCACGGCGTCTGCGGGGACAGACCAGGTCAGGGGCCACGGGCGCCCGGCGGGGCCTCGGAGGGGCCGGGCAGGGCTGCACCGGGCTGCGGGGACCCGGGGCTCGGGCACGAGCGCGGCCAGCAGCCCTCTCCCTGAGGTCCGCCATGGCTCCACCAGCCCCCGGGGCAGAGTCCAGTCCTGTCCGAGGGAGGAGGCAGCCACGCCAGGCTGAGCCCACGCTGCAGAGTAAACCCTGGGGCCGGCGGCTCCCGACCAGGAGGCCACCGTGACGCATCGGGAGGGGCGAGGAGAGCTGGGCCACGTGGTCAACCCCCATCCCGCGTGGGGAACTGGGTTCGAGTCCCAGCCTCCTGCCAACGCAGACCCTGGCAGGCAGACGGCCCCCGCCCCCCGCATGGCCCTGCCAGTCTCTCCAGCCGGGGGTGGGGCTTTGGAGCTGAGGCCACTGCCAGGTCAGGGACCGCGAGACATAAAGCTCCCTCTCGGAGCAGCCACCAGCCACCAGCCGCGGGGTCCTGCCGCCGCCCCCCCGCCCCGGCCGCTTACCCCCTTCTTGCCGGGGATGGCGCACTCCCAGTTCATGAGGTTCATCGTGCCGTCGGGGTTCTTGGTTGGGACAGCCACGAAGCCCTGCGTGGACGAGCAGGGGAGTCCCCGGGCGCTCAGGCCGCCCCCGCCCCGCCCTCCCCCGCCCCCGCCCGCGGGCTCTGCTTACAAACGGGTGGTCCTTCCTCCAGGCCTTCCTCTCCTGGGCAAGTCTGCTGAGGGCGATGCCCGACATGTTCCAGTCCTGGGGACACGGGCGCCGTGAGGGCCCCACTCCCACGAGCCCGAGTCACGCCAGGCTGGGAGGCCCCCACACCTCAGGCCGCGGGCGCACGGCGCTGCTGAGGGGGGCAGCCCAGCACCGCTGCCCCAGCCTGGCCTCCCCCACGCAGGGCGCTCGCGCCCCGGACCCGAGGGCCAGCGCCCTGACCAGGGCCGGCCACAGCGGCCCTCAAGGTCCAGGACCACAGCCCAGGGCCCAGGCCGCCGCGCCTGGACTCCACCAGCTGCCGTCTGCCCCGTCCTCGGAACCCACGGGTGTCGCCCTCCAAGTCCCTGGCTACAGAGCCACTCCACGGCTCACCTGGCACTGGTTAGAGGGGGAGGCTCTGCCCGGGGCGGGCGGCATCCCAGAACCCAGCAGGCGAGAGCCCAGGAGAGCCAGACCTCCACAGACGATCGGACGAGGACCACGGTCCTCGGGCTCCTGAGTGCCGGCGCCTCCGGCCGCCGCACACCGCGCACGGCTGCAGGCTGAGCCCACGGCTGCTCCACTTCCCAGCCGGCTCCCTGCGGGGGGACGCCCAGGGCCTTGGGCCCCTGCACCCGCGTGGGAGACCAGAAGAGGCTCCCGGCTTCCACACGGCCCAGCCCCAGCCGACGGGGCCGTCTGGGAGAGCCAACCAGCGGCTGCACGACCTCTAACTCTGCCTTGACAATAAATAAACCTTTAAAGAGGCGAAGCCGCCGCCAGGCTGCCACGCCTTCCCGCACCTGGCGCCCCAGCCCGGGCCCCTTCCGGGAACAGGCGTGGCGGCCCGGTCCCAGCACACCTGCCTGTGGCTCACCACAGCCTCCACCTGCACGGGCAGCGCGCGAGCCAGCCCCGGACGCCCTGGGGTCTCCGGAAGCAGGCAGCACAGCACGGGGCAGGGGCCGGCAGGGGCCTGGGGGCCGCGGGGAGCCCGACGTCGGTCCCCAAGGCTCCTGTGCGCCTCTCACACCCTCCCCGCCGCAACCCGCCCTCCCGAGCCAGCGCATCAGAACTGCACCCCTGCCCGTGCTGGGCCCGAAAGAGCTCCGCCCACAGAGACCCCCGCGGCGGGCGGCGCTGCCCGTCCGGGCCGAGCCACAGGTGCGCACCTGCTCGGCGCCGGGCGCCCGGCCTCAGTCTCAGCACGCAGCCGCGCTGGACAGGTGGGCTGCCGCGGCCCGCACCGGCCGCCTCCGTGGCCCTTCTCGGCCCTCCCGCACCCGCGGACGGGCCCTCTGGGGCATGCACCCCACGCCTCCCTCGGCTGCGCCCGACCCCCGTCCCGGGACCCCCGCGCCCCGCCAGACAAAGGCACAGCGGCGGGCTTGGCCAGCGGCCTTGCGGGAGAGGGCCGGGGCGCCGCGCGGGGCAGGCGGCCCACACAGGCCCCGGGAGGCGGACGGAGGGCCGGGCGCGCTCCGGGCCCCGAAGACGCGCGACCCCCGCGGCGGGGCAGGGGGCTGGGGGCCGCGGCCACGGCCTCACCTTGGCCGGCACGGAGCCGCCCGCCGCCCGTGGCGAGCGGGGCGCTCTCGGCCGCGCAGGAAAACTTCCCTCGGCGGCGGCGGAGCCCCCCGCGCGCCCGCTGGTCCGCAACCGGCCGCTCCCGGCGCCCTCCCGGGCGGCCCCGCGAGCCCCGCGGCCCGAGGAAGGCGCGGCCCGGGCGGCCGCCGTGACCCCGAGGCCGCGCGCCGCCCGGAAGGCCGCGGCGCCCGCCTCGCGCCCCGCGCGGGCCGCCGACGGCCCGGCCCGAGCCCGCGAGGCCCCCCGCCCGGCCCCGCTCACCTCGGGCGGCCGCGGCCCGGCGAGCGTCACGGACGAGCGGGGGCCGAGCGGCGGCGGCGGCGCTTCCCTTTGTCTCGGGACTTCCCTCCGGAGCCCGCTCCGCGCGCAGCCCCGAGCGCCGAGGACCCCGGCGCGGGCGGGGCGGCGGGGCGGGGCCTGGCCCGGGGCTGCCCGCCGCACGCCTGCGCCGCGCGCCGCCGCCGCCGCGCCGCGCCGCGCGCCGCCCGCGGCCCCGCGCGCTCCTCGCCGCCCGCGCCCCGCCGCCGCGCGCCCGCGTCCCGCGTCCCGTCGGGGAGCCCGGCCCGGGGGCGACTTTCCAGTCAGGCGGCGCCCTGGACACCTGTGCTCTTAAAGGAGCCGCGTCCTCGAAGTGAGGGAGCGTCTGCAAACTCTCCTTCGGGGCGGGCGGGCGCACTCGAGGATACGCCGGCGAGCAGCCGGGGAAGGGGCGCGCCGCGTTCCTCAAGGGCTCCCCGGATGCCCGGCGGGCGCGTCTCAGCGCGTAGGTTCCGGAGGTCTCCTTGGGGCCGGGGCCCGGGGCCGGGGGGCAAAGACCACTGAGGCCTACGGATGCCCGAAACGGCGCAGGACGGCGACAATCCCCTGAGTCTGGCGTCCTGTGAAACCCCCTGCAATTGGCCAATGCAGGGGCCTGGGCGGGGCATCGTCCAGATCCGCCCAATCAGCTGACGCCGTACGGAAGGCCGGACGCTCGCCAGACCGACGGGAGGAGAAGCGCCGACGCTCCCTAGCCCGGGGCCGTCCCGCCTGGGGGAGGGGCGCGCCGGGATTCCCGCGCGCGGTCTCGTCCCACGAGCGCGAGCGCGCGGTTCGCGGGTCCGCGCCGTCCCGCGCGGGCACGGCGGGGTCGCCCCTGGGGCTAGGGCGCCGTCCGAGCCGTCGGCGCGGTGGGCGCCCGGGGCCAGGCGATGGGGTCGGCCGCAGAGGGCCTGGAAGGCACTCATTCACGCCCTCCTCCAGGCTCCGCCGTCCGCAGCCTTCGCAGCTCTGGTTTGCCGGGACACGGAACGTGGCTGACAGGCCTGGCGGCAGCGGCGGAGACCCCCGAGGGGGCAGAGACGCCCCTCATTCCCCGCGCCCCTAGGTCCCGGTCCCAGCTTCCCCGCGGTCTGCGCTGGGCTGTGTGGCCGTGGAGAAGCCGCTGGACCGCGGCCCTGGGGTCCCAATGGGCAGGGGTGGGGGGCAGGGCCTAGGTCTGCAGGTGGGGGGGGTAGGGCCCAGGTCTGTGGGGAGGGGGAGCTGGGGGGCCCAGGTCTGCAGGTGGGAGGGGGTCAGCTCAGGGGTCCCGGATCCGCGGTCCTCCACACGGGGACACCTGGGGCAGGGAACCCACCTCAGATGGGCCAGGTTCAAAGGACACACTGAGGCTGGGGGGGGGGGTGAGGGCCCCGGCCCCGCCTTGGGGGGCAGCCCTCCACAGATCACCCACAAATCCGGGCTGGGGGGCTGGTCAGAAATCCACACCTGAGCAAAACCCAGAACTCCTGAGAACAGGTGCGTCCCGACCCCGTGCCGGGGGCGGAGCCGGGGTCTGGGCCCACCCTCGGGGGGGGGGGGAGTGTGCGTCCCAGGACAGCCGGCGACCGCGGGCCCACCCCGCCTCGCACTCCCGCCCAGGGAGGAGCGCGCAGAGAGGCTGTGTCCCGGGGGGAGCGGAGGCCGGGCCCTCCTCCCCGTGGCCGCCCTTGGACGCCCTTCGCTGCCCACCGCCTGGTGACCGCGGGCAGCGCTGTCCCTGCCCCAGAGCCGCGCCCCGCCCGGATGCGGGACGCACCTGCCGCGCGCTCCCGCCTGGGCCTCGGCTGCCTCACTTCCGTCTCCAGACAGGGCCTCGCGCACCTGCGCCGCTCCCGCCTCCGGCCTCTGCCCGCGAGCGCTGCCCGCCCAAAGTCGCCTGCGGGGGCTCCTCCCCGGCCCCTGGGCGGCCGGGCGGGCGCTCTCGGAACGCCCCGGGGGCAGGGGTCCGTCTGCCTCCGCACCTACAGGACTGCGGCGCCTTTACCTGCCCGGGTGGCCCTCGCGCGGCTCCCCCGCGGGACCTCGCACCTGCACAGCAGGTGGGCAGCCGGATGCTTGGCTGCGCGGGGGAACCGGGGGCGAATCCAGCCGTGCGGTGCGCCTGGAGCCGGGATCCCGCTCGTACGGGGAGGGGAGCAGCAGGGGAGGGACGCGCGCAGGCCCGGCAGGGCTCGAACACGCGGAACGCGAGGCTGTTACAGGCGCCAGGTGCGCCTCCTCCTCTGCTCCACCGGGCCCACCGGCGACACCTGGCGTCTCGGCCCCGCTCCGGGCCACGCACGCACACGCCCCCTTCCCGCGCGCCCTTGGCGCCCACCCGCAGACCCTGGCCGGCTCCTGGCGCCCTGTCGCGAGGCGCCGGCCGCATCCCCGGCCGGACTGCTCGCCCAGGTGTGCCTACCCCAGGTGAGGGGCTCCAACTGCGCACGCGCCCTCCCCGCAGGGGGCACCGCGCAGACCCCCTTGGACGCGTTGGGCTTCAAGTGCCGGGGGACACCGCTGCGGGCATGGACCCGCTGTCCTCGCCATGCGGACTTACCTGGGTCCCCGGGCGGCGCGGGGCGGCTCGGCGGGCGCTGACCGTCGGGGTCTGCGAGGGCGCGCGTCCCGGCGCCTGCAGTTACTCCGCGTGGCCACACGGGGGCGCCTGGGCACTCACGCCTCTGGGCGGGGGGCGTGGCCAAGCGCAGCAGGCGGCTTGCACCTGCTGCCGGGCCCCTGGGGGATTCCAGGTAGCCGCCGCCCCAGGCAGACCTTCAGCGTTGAAGCTGCTTTACGTTTTCTGCAGGTGCGTGCGCAGGCTGCTTGGTGCCTGCGTCTTGCGGTGTGTAATGTCCACTGCATTTGCCAAGCTCTGGAGCCCCCGGGCACCTTGACGGGGGCCCTGCCTCCCCAGGTGAGGCCAGCAGCCAGGGAGCAGAGACACTGCACTGTCCTGTCGCAGCGCCTGGCGCTTCGTGGGATGCACGAAGGAATGTGAATGAATGGAGGAGCCCGCCCGAGGCTCTGCTGGCCTTACACGCCTGGGCCCAGCGGCCTGAGGGGAAAAATGGCTTCAGGCTGCGTTCCAGGGCCCTGTGTGGCAGCGCTGGCTGCCGGTCGCTCCCGCCTCGGGAGAACGGTGCAGGAGGGCAGGAGGCGCTGACAGAGGGGTCACAGCAGGAGAAGGCTGTCACCTGCCCGGCCCCGGGGACGAGAACCGGCCTCGCCCTCTGCTGCTGTCTGCGGCCCGCACTGATGGCCTGGGTGCACAGATGCGCGCTCCAGCGCACTGACACAGACACACGCTAACCCCCACTGCACACAGGAGCAGTCGGAGGCCGGCGGCCGGCGGCTCTGCCCAGGAGGCACCCGGGCCTGCCGTCCAACTTGGCTTCGGGGGAAGCGGGAGCCTGCGGCCCTGAACTGAGGAGGCAGTGCCAGCTGCTGGATCCTGGGCCTCCCCAGACACGGCCACCAGCGGAGGAAGTCTGTCTGTCTGGGGTGTGGGCCCCGGAGGCTCCGTGATGCTGTCCCCCTCACCTGGCTCGCGGAGGGCTGGGGACGGATGCCCTGCTAGGTGGCCTGCAAGCTGTTGGCGCTGGGAGCTCAGGGACCCTGCTCAGGAGTCGGGACGGGGTGTCGCCTTCTTGGAATCTCTCTCGGGTTGCTGGTGAGGTCGGGGCAAGCCCTCCCCCTCTGGACAGCCCCAGCCAGGCAGCGCCCCAGGGAGATGTGACCCCTCAGTGCAGAGTGCCCGAGAGCCTCCCCGAACCACCCAACACCCAACACGCCCCTCCCTCGGCCCGGCCCCGCCTCCTGCTAGCGCCCCTCCCTCAGCCCGGCCCCGCCTCCTGCTAATGCGGGGTGGTGGCGAGGCCCCTTGCCACCCCCGCCAGAGACCGGAGACCCAGCTGGAGCTGCTGGCCCGGCGGCCATGTGGGGGGCTCCCTGTCTCCCCGGGGCTGACCCTTCGCTCCGCCTCCCTCACTGGGCTCTCGCCCTCACCCTGGACTGCTGCAGGTCACATTTGCAAGGTCCCCAGCCCGCCACTGTGTCTTCATCCTTAAGGGCGCTTTTGTAAGCTTTTTATTTTAATGAATTGCGATCAGTACGAGGCCTCCAGAACGAGGAAACCCACAGCCCTGAGGCCGGTGCTCCCGCCTCCCCCTGCGCCCGCCCGGCGTCCACACTGCCGCTGCTTGTGTCCCCCGGGGCTGAAGCCTGGAAGCACGAGCTCGCCCTCTTCTGGGGCCACTGCTTCCTGGGTGGGGGCTCCGCCCGGGACCCTGGCGTCTCGGCCCTGCCCCCACCCCCGGCCGCACACCTGGACCGTGACTTGTTCAGCGCAGGTCTGGTTGGGAAGGCACCCGTCACTGGGAGGCGGCAGGGGCCGGGCAGTGCCCTCCAAAGCCCAGTGATGCCGGTGTGGGGCCCGCAGGTGCGGCCAGGAGCACCGGGTGGGGCTGGGGGCTCCGCCGTGCCGCCCTCTGCTGTGCGTGGGACTGGAACGGGGCTCGGCCCCTGCGGGAAGAGTAGGGCTGGGTGGGTTTGAGTCGGCAGCGACAGTGAGGGTGGAGCGTGTGGTCTGAGGGTGGGCAGGCCCGAGTCAGGGGCTTCCTTCCCGAGTCAGGTGGGGGTCACACCAGCAGCACTGCACCGGCCCTGGACGCCGCCCCCCCCCCCCAGGAACACAGGAGCTCTGAGCACCGTGGCTGCACGGGGCCGAGGACGCCACGGCCGGAACCCGGAAGTGACCTCAGACTGCGGCTGGAGACAAGGCACGGGTCCTGGCTCTGGGCCCAGCTCGCACCACAGCCAGCCTAGCTCAGGGCCAAATGGACGCATGGCAGAGCCACGGCCCTGGGGGGCCCGTGTCCACGGAAGCCACGCCATGGTGGGCACCTCTTCCCCCGTGGGTGTCCCAGGCCGGGGGCGGGGCGCTCATGCTGGGGACCTTTGTCACGGCCATGTGCCGTCCTGGCCTCCACCCAGTGCAGGCTCAGGCTACCCTGGCCCTCAGGGCTCCTGCTGCCTCCCGGTGTCCCCACAGCCCTGACCCCGGGCCTCCTGCTCCTGGCTGGCCCCCCACCCCGCTCATTGGCCGCCATCCCTGCTGACCTGGGACCCTGGACTGGCGTTTCAGGGAGCTGAGGCCGCGCCTGGGCCTGTGCAGCCAGCCCATTCTCCTTCGTCTCAGCCCCGGGCGGCAGGGGGACCGCTGAGCCCCGGGTGCCCGGCCGGGCGGGGCCCCCTCTCCTGGTCCCCCACAGCCCTGCCAGGCCTTGAGGCTCCCGCTGCCTCCTTGCTGCTTCTCGCGCCCACAGGGAGCAGCCCTGGCCTTTCGGGCTGTGTGGGCTGCATCTCAGGAGGCACAGAGCCAGAGCTGCTGGGTCCAGGTGGGCGGGGCTCGGCCGGAGGGAAGGGGCAGCCGGGAGCGATGACCACCACGCCCAGCCCATGCAGGGCACAGGTGGGCACCTGGCAGCCAAGGGCGACTCCGCAGCCACGGCAGCTCCGCCTCCTACCTCACCCGCCAGGGGCACAGCCAGCCCCACCCTGCCCCCAGCCCCGAGACCCCATCCCACGTGCCCTCCGCTGCTGCCGTGTCTCAGACGCCTGCAGGACCAGGTGCTGCCTGTGCACGTGGGTCCTCCCGGTCGGGGCGGCCGTGGCCGTTCCTGGCACGTGCAGGTGCCCGGGGGGGTCTCAGGGTCCTGGTTGTGCCTCTTCCAGCTCAGCCATCAGACCAGACCTCTGCCCAGCTGGCCCTCCCAGTGGGACACAGGGTTGTGCCCCGGGGCTGCTGGCCGGCACGGGGGTCGTCTGCCGGTGCCGGGCGGCTTCGCCCCTCGCCATGGCTGTCCCGCGGCCAGGTGTCAGGAGCACAGCGGCCCCCGTGGGTTCTCAGGAGGGGGGCCGGTGTCTCCCTGAGGCTCCAGCCTGCGTCTGCCAGAGCGCTGAGGTCCCCAGTGACCAAAAGGGGTCTGTGCTTTTGAAAACAGTGATTTACTTACTTTATTTGAAAGAGAGACCGGGGTGGGGGGAGCTCTCCCACCCACTGGCTCGTTTCCCCGAAGTCTGTAACAGCCAGGGCTGGGCCAGGCCAAAGCCAAGAGCCAGGAAGCCCCACCTGGGCCCCCACGCGGCTACTCAGGCCACCACTGAGCAGGGAGCTGGGTCTTGAGCCCAGGCCCTGTGGTACAGGACGCAGGCGCCCCAGCCCCATCTTCACCGCTGCACCGCGCACCTGCCCCAGCCCAGCTCCTACGCCCATCTGCACGCGCGTGGCCTCGGCTTCCTGCATGGCAAACCTCGTGCTGTCACGTGAGCGCCCAGCAGGTGAGCAGTGGGGTCGGGTTCAGCGGCTCCACTTGGTCTGTCCACATGGACATGTGCGCCCTTGGTCTTGGGCGAGGCTGGGGAGCCCCGTGGCCCCTGGGGTGTCTCTGGGGTGCGGGGGGCTGGGAAGTTTCCTAAGCTGCCCTTCTTGGGGGAGCTTCAGCTGACCTGGCCCCCGGCCCCACCCAGCCCCACAGCTCCGTGTGCTCCTAACAAACAGAACACCCACCAGTCATCCGTCCTGAAAGACAAATCCCACTCCCAGGAGTGACACAGGCAGGGGCAAAGCGACGGGGCCCCAGGCGCTCAGCTCGGCAGAGGGAACAGACGAGGCACCGACCACCAGGGATGTCAAGGCTGCCGGCTCCGGCAGCCCTCTCTGCTCTGCCATGGGGTGAGCACTTCCGAGCTGTGACGGTGCACAGGGCCCCCGGCCGTGTTTGGCACCGTCACATCCTGGTGGGTACAGGCACCTCTGGCTCTGCGCCTCAGTTTCCCCCCAGTCTGAGGGGACCCCCAGCTGGAGGGTCTTGGCGGGACCTGTAGCCCAGGGAGGGACAGGGAAGCCCCAGGCTGCTCAGCTAAGACCTCAGAGGATGGACAGGAAGCGACCCCTGTGCCCATCTGACCCCAGTGAAGACCCGGGACCCCTGGGTGGAGGTGGGGGCAGGGACATTAGGGCCTGAGCTGTCCCACGGGGCTGCCTGGCCTTAGGCTCAACCTCTTTGAAGAACCCTAAAGACTGGGCTCACGTTGGGTGGGGGAGCTGGGGTTACCCAGGAGGGCTACCTGGAGGAGGTAACACTGTCCCAGCCCCAGCCTGGAGGGGAGGAACAGCTCAGGATTCTGGCCAGGACACCACTTCCCTCCTGTGGACAGTGTCCTGAGCCAGCCCCGCCTCGCAGAGAACAGGTGGGGCCCTCGCCTCCTCCCTCCCTGCCCTGGACAGCAGCTGTGTGGTGTCCCCACCCACCCCTTGCCCAGCAGGTCCAAGGCTTGGGTGGACGCTCCCTCTTGTCCCAGGTGCTGGACGTGTACCATGGACCTCTGGCCCCACAGCCTCCTGCTGCTGCTGGCCGTGCGTGGTGAGTGACTGGTGAGGGAGTGCGGATGTGGGTGTCGTCTGTGCTCTGCCTGGGCTGGGTGTGGACCCCCACTGCCCTGTGCCTCCTCCTGAGGCTGCTGTTTTCCTCTGTGCCCATCGGGGGCCAAGGAGAGCTGTGACCCTGGCAGGGGTGCAGGGGAGAGGTTGAGACCTACAGTATGGGGCTCATGCACCCTCCAGTCTGCACAAGCCCTAGGGTCCCCAGCGGCCAGTGCCCAGGGGTGTGTAGGGGGAGGTGGAGGCTGGGGCAGCAGCTCCCAGCTGCCACTCGCGGCCCTGGACCCCACCCACCGGGCAGCCCAGGTCCGGCTCCAGCTCCTCACGCCGGGCCTGCCCATCTCCCTCCTGCAGGTGTCTCGGGAGCCGCCCTGCAGCCAGGTGTGTGCAGAGGTGAAACCCCAGGGCTGGCTGCGGTCTTCCCGGCACGGGGCAGCTCCACAGGACCCCCACCTCCCCAGGGCAGCCCCTCCCTCTGCCCTGTTGTTCTCCAAGCCCCTCCTGCCACAGAGACCCCCAAAGCCGTCTGCCCGGTGCCCGTGGGGGGACCACGGTGGGATGCCCCAAGGCTGGGCTGGGCACTCCTGGCTCTGCGGGTGTCACTTTAGGAAGTGTTTGTCACACGTGGGAGCTGCTGTGGGCAGGTGGGCCGGTGGGGAAGCTTCCTGGGGGGGGTCATGGGCCGGAGTCCCCCACAATGGCCGCGTCTTTGCTGCAGGGTGTGGGCAGCCCTGGCTTGTGGACATAGGGGCCCGAATTGTGGGGGGCCACACGGCCCTGGCTGGTGCGTGGCCGTGGCAGGCTAGCCTCCGACTGCGCAAGGTGCACGTGTGCGGGGGGTCCCTGCTCAGCCCCCAGTGGGTGCTCACAGCCGCCCACTGCTTCTCTGGGTGAGTGTCCGGGTGAGGGGGGAGGAGTCCCGGGTGCACCTCTCCATGTCTCAGTGCACCCCTGGGGCGGGTGGCGCGCTCCCTCCCTACGGCCACTTCATGGGCAACTCAACTGTGACCCTGCTTCCTGGTCAGCCTGGGCCCGGGCAGCCGGCTGCTGACCCCGCTGGGCCCTGGCTGCCCAGAGCCACTGCATCGGTGCAGTGTGGGCCCTGGTGGGCGCTATGGTGGCCTCTGGCCCTTCTGAACCCCCCTCCCTCCCCAGGTCCCTGAACTCCTCTGACTACCAGGTGCACCTGGGGGAGCTGACGGTCACCCTGTCCCCCCACTTCCACACCGTGAGGAAGATTGTCCTGCACTCCAGCTCCCTAGGACCGCCGGGGGCCAGCGGAGACATCGCCCTGGTGCAGCTGAGCGCCCCCGTGAGCCTCTCCGGCCAGGTCCTGCCCGTCTGCCTCCCCGCAGCCTCCACGGACTTCCCCCCGGGCACACGCTGCTGGGTGACCGGCTGGGGACACACGGGGGAGGGAGGTGAGTGCCCCCCTCACCCAAGCCAGTCTGCCTGGGAACCCAGCCGAGCACCCCCACGGAGGCCACCCCATCGCACAGGGAGCCCCGCCGGTCTCACCCAGAACCCACACGCCCTGCACCTGGGTGGGGGGGTGGGCCCCCGGCTCCCGGCAGTGGCTGCTGCCCGGCCTCCCCTGAGGCTCGCTCATCCCCCCCAGAGCCTCTGCCGCCCCCCTACAGCCTGCAAGAGGCTGCTGTCTCCGTGGTGGACCCCGAGACCTGCAGCCGGGCCTACGCCAGCCACGGCGGCAGCGCCATTCGGGCCGACATGCTGTGCGCCGGGGGCCCCGGGGACGCCTGCCAGGTGAGCCGCCGGCATGGCCGGGACGGGGGGGGGGGGCAGGCCCAGCGAGCAGCGCCCCAGCTGTGTCCTACCCCACCCCCGTGCCCCCAGGACGACTCCGGAGGACCTCTGGTGTGCCAGCAGCAGGGGGCCTGGGTGCAGGCCGGCGTGGTGAGCTGGGGCGAGGGCTGCGGCCGCCCCGACCGGCCAGGCGTCTACACCCGCGTTCCCGTCTATGTGGATTGGATCCGCCGCCACGTCCCAGAACTGTGGGGTGCGGAGGGGCCTGGACACCCAGGGCTGCCCTGGCTCTCGCTCCTGGCTGGGCTCTGGCTGCCCGGCCTCTTCCTCCTGCTGGTCGTAGGGGTCCTGGTGGCCAAGCGCTGGCTGCAGGCCCGGGCCGCCACCCCGCCCCTCCCGCCGGAGGCCTGCTGTGGTCACAGGGTGCTTCTTAAATAAGTTACTGTTTATTCTGCTCTGTCCTCCCGAAGCTGGGCTCTGTGTGGATTATTGCAAGTGTAACCTGAATCCAACAAAGGCGGGAAACCAAACAGCGGGGCGCCCGCCCCACCCTGGCGGCCGGAGCCCCATCTTATTGCGGGGTCACCACTCCCCGGAGGTGCCCCAAAACAAGCACACGGGACGGGCGGGTGGCGTGGGGTGCGGAGGGCGTGGCGAGGACTGGGCGGTGAGCGAGTGACCTTGGCCGTGGCGGCCTTGGGGACTGCACTGCCCCAGGGCACAGGTGGCCCCCGGCTTGTGTTCCTGTAGGGCTGTGGAGGAGGGGCTCCTCTGTGCCCTCCTGTGTGTGGGCGCCCCGCAGCCGCTCCTCACCTGGACCGGCCGGCCCGAATCGGCCACACGGAGGCCCTGGGCCGCGGCCGCCCCTGCTCTGCCGTGGCCCCGCCTGGGCCGACGTCCTGCTCGGGCCCCTCTGCCCACGGCGGGGACTGAGCTGGGGCCACCGCCCCACGGGGCACCGGATCCTGGGCCGAAGTCCTGCCCGCATCAGCCGGGCTACACGGGCTTGTCTGTGCTGACACCCAGGGCCACCCTGAGGTGCGGCCCCCACCCCGTCTCGGGGGGGTCCCCCGAGTGTGCAGGCGGCTCTGTTTGCCGAGGCGCGGGCGGCACCGTGGGCCCCGCGGTCTCGCTGCAGCCCGCGTCGGGGAAGGCGCCTCCCTCGGCAGCCGCCGCCTCCAGCGGCTCGAAGGCAAAGCCGGGCACAGTGAGGTGCTCCGGCCGGGCCCGCCGCTCCGCCCTGCACCCTGCGTCCCCCCCGGCACCCGGGCCCTCGGCCGGCTCCAGGCAGTCCCTGTGGGGCGTGGTCTCGCAAGACGGGGTCCTGCGTCTCAGGCTGCTGCGGCCCTCTGCGGGGGGGGGCCGGGCCGAGCCCTCATCCTCTGCGGGGGGGTCGATGGAGATGCACGGAGGGCTCATCTTCTTCTTCCTGCGAGCCCCCAGCGCAGGCTCCGCCTCCCCGGCCCCCCCGCCCAGCTCCGCCGAGGGCCACCTCTGCCCTTCCACCGGGCCGGGCTTGTCCAGGAGGCCGGGGGCGCCCACGCTGTGGAACCTGCGCAGGGCTGGTCCCCCGGCTGCCGCCCTGGGGGCCGCAGGGGAGGCCACGGGGCTGCAGGACTCGGCCGCGGGCCAGGGCTGGGCGGCGCTGGTGATGTTGCTGACCTCCTGGTCCGCGGGGTCCGCGGCCTCCGGCTCCTCCCCGCCTGGGGCCGGCGGGCGGCTGCAGGTGCAGCACTGTCCGAGGGCCTGCTTGCGGGTGCGGACGCTGGCCGGACGCGGGGAGCGGGGTGGGGACCGCAGGGGAGCCCCCAGGGACGCCTGCCGCGCCGGGGTCTTCTCCACAGGCTCCCCGGGGTCGGGGGTGCTGCCCCTGGCGCCCTCCACCTGCCCCTGCAGGGTCTCAGCGAGCGCAGCCTCCTGTGAGGGCACAGGGCCAGGGTGAGCACCCCAGGGAGCCTGGCTGACAGCCAGGGAGGACCAGGCATGTAGCTCCCCAGGGAGAGGGGTCTGGGGGTCCTGGTGAGGGTCCCACATGGGCCACAAGCTGGGGCTGCACCCACCATCCGGGGGGCCTGTGCTCTTGGGGACCCCAGGAGACCTTGAGGGGCGCAGGGCAGGGTACCCGGCCCACCCCCTACCCTCGGACAGGTGACCTGGCCACCCCCCACCCTCGGACAGGTGAGCCACCCCCCACCATCAGACAGGTGACCTGGCCACCCCCCACCCTCGGACAGGTGACCTGGCCACCCCCCACCCTCGGACAGGTGACCCAGCCACCCCCCACCCTCGGACACCCTCAGGAGAGAACCCCCCCGGGCCGACAGGTCTCTGGAGGTGCTGGTGCTGGGCCGGGACTGGGGGTGTGGGGGGGAGGCCAAGGCTGCAGCTGAGCAGGCTGAGGGGGGCCAGGACCCTGTGATTGGCTGAGGGGAGCCCGGGCCCTGTGATTGGCTGCTGAGAGGGTCCCGGGACCCTGTGATTGGCTGAGGGGGGCCGGGGCCCTGTGATTGGCTGCTGAGGGGGGCCCGGGCCCTGTGATTGGCTGCTGAGAGGGTCCCGGGACCCTGTGATTGGCTGAGGGGGGCCGGGGCCCTGTGATCGGCTGGGCCCTGGGTCCCTGGCTGTGTCCCAGCTGCTGGCCGGGGCTTCCCCTACCTGTGTGCAGGGCGGCCGGCCGGGGCCGGGGCTGTGGGGCGCAGCCCGAGGGGACGGGGCGCGGAGGGAGGCGCTGGGCTCCGGGGCCGGCGAGAGCACCGTCGTGGCAGGGCCTGGGGTGGGACAGCATCTAAGCCAAGTGCCCACCGCCCCCACTGGCCTGCCGTCCCGCCGGGGGCCGTACCTGGGGGGCTGCTGCCCGCGTAGGTGTCCAACTCGACCTCCTGCAGCGCGCCGGGCGGGGGTGCGGAGGCGGGCGCCACGGGCCGGAACATGTAGCTGTCGTTGGGCAGCGAGAGCATCCGGGACACACACACCTTGCGCAGGACCAGCAGGCTCGCGGTGTCCCGGCCGGGCCCCGGGCTCTCCTGCGGGAGGCAGGTGCCCGTGTCCACCTGGCAGCCCCTCCCAGGGCCAGGACGCGTCCCCTGCCCCCCAGGACGCGACCCCTGACCCCCAGGACACAACCCCTGCCCCCCAGGACGCGTCCCCTCCCAGAGCCCAGGACGCCACCCCTGCCCCCCAGGACGCGACCCCTCCCAGAGCCCAGGACGCGACCCCTGCCCCCCAGGATGCGACCCCTGCCCCCCAGGACGTGACCCCTCCCACCCAGGACGCGACCCCTCCCAGGGCCCAGGACGCGACCCCTCCCAGAGCCCAGGACGCGACCCCTCCCAGAGCCCAGGATGCGACCCCTTGGGGCCCAGGACTTGACCCCTTGGGGCCCAGGACGCGACCCCTCCGGGGCCCAGGATGCGACCCCTGCCCCCCGGGACGTGACCCCTCCCACCCAGGACGCGACCCCTCCTAGAGCCCAGGACGTGACCCCTTGGGGCCCAGGACACGAGCCCTGGGGCCCAGGAGGCCCGCACCTGCGGCGTGGGCGGCGGGCGCGCCGGGGCGGGCGGGGTGTCCGGCTCGGCCTCGCCGTCCCCCTCGGCGTCCTCGCGGGCCTCGCGGTTGCTCTCCTCCAGGTGCTTCATGAGCACGGCCACCACCACGTTGACCAGCACGAACTGGGCCACCAGCACGAAGGTGACGAAGTAGACGGGCGACAGCACGGGCAGGTAGCTGAGGCAGTGCCGGTCCTCGCGGGCGCACTCGCGCAGCGTGTCCTGGGGGCGTGCCGGGCTCAGGCCCACCGCGCGGGGTCCTGGGGTCCCGGCAGCCCGCCCCGCCACCCCGCCGCCCCCCGGGCTGCGCCTACCTTCATGATTCCGTTCCAGTTGTCCCCGGTGGACACGCGGAACAGCGTGAGGAAGGCCATGCCGAAGTTGGTGAAGGTGGCGTGCCTGCTGAGGCCCTCGCACGGGTTGTCCTCACTGCACTCTGCAGGGCGTGGGGGCGGGGTGTGGGGGCGGGGCTCGAGCCCGGGCTGTACCCGCCCACCCCCTCCCGTGGCCCCTCGGGCACACAGGGCGCCGCCCGTCAGCCGGGGCAGGGCCCGAGCCCCGGGCTGCACCTGCCCGTCCTCTCCTGTGCCCTGAGCCACACTGGGCACGCAGGACACCCTGGCTGCTGGGTAGGGGGGTCTCCAGGTCTCCTCTGGGACCCAGTGGGGCCTGCGCCTGGGTGTCTGCTACCCTGGGCCCAGCCCTGTGGGAGGACACTGAGTTGTGACGCCCGGTGGGGGCTCCCAGAAGCCACTGAGGCCCCTGGAGACACTGGTGGGCATCGGCTTGGTGACTATGAAGGGTCCCCATCATGTCCCCCCAGGGGGAAGTCCCCAGGACACTCAGAGTGGACCGTGTGGCGCTCAGGGCGGCCTGTGCACACGTCCCTGTGTGTGCATGTGTGTCTCGGCCTGCCTGACGCCCATGTGTGTGCGTGTGTGTCTCGGCCTGCCTGACGCCCGTGTGTGTGTGCATGTGTGTGTCATGGCCTGCCTGACGCCCGTGTGTGTGCATGTCTGCGCGTGTCGTGGCCTGCCTGACGCCCCTGTGTGTGTGCATGTGTGTGTCACGGCCTGCCTGACGCCCGTGTGTGTGTGCATGTGTGTGTCATGGCCTGCCTGACGCCCGTGTGCGTGTCTGCGCGTGTCGTGGCCGGCTGCAGGAGCGCAGCAGCTGGCGGGGGCCCGGCCCGTGCTGTCCGCGCGGTCACGCAGCCGCCCCACTCACCTAACCTCCCAAACAGCTCGACTCCCAGGGCGGCGTAGATGAAGAACAGCAGCATGAAGAGGAGGCCCAGGTTCCCCACCTGGGGGAGGGGCAGGGGCAGCGCGCTGGGCCCGGCTTCCACCAGGTTCCCAGGGTCCCAGTCCCTTCTGGGGTCCCCGGGGCAGCCAGGCCCTCCCGAGCCACACTCTGCTTCCCAACTTCTGCCCCTCACGCGCCTCGCCCCACCCCAGCCCCTTCCTGCTGTGGGGACGGGGGCGGCCTCCAGACCCAGGGACCCCAAGGCTGGGCCCAGCAGGCGGGGGCTCCGCCGGGGGGCTTAGCGCCCCTCTCAGCATCAGCACCCACTGCACCCCAGGGCCACCCTCTATGCTGCTCGCCAGGCCCGGAGCCCCGCCCCCACAGCCAGCTGGGTTCCTGATGGGCAGCACCGGGCTAGAGGGCGGGCGGGGAGGGGCAGCCCTCGGACAGGGGCCGCGGGCCCTGGTGGTGCGGAGGCTGCCCGGGCCCTGCCCTCCGCCCCGCCCACAGGGGCGCCCCTGGGCCCCACCCACCTGGGGCAGGGCCTGCACCACGGTGTCCAGCAGGGCCCGCATGCCCGTGGCCATCTTCAGCAGCTTCAGCACTGGGCCGGGAGCTGAGCGTTAGCGGGGGCGGGGCCCAGGCAGGCCACGCCCCTCCGCCCGCCCTCCGCCCGCGGGCCTGGCGCCTACCGCGGGCGATGCGGAGCACACGCATGATGCGGATGATGGTGGGGTTGATGGGCAGGGCCGCGCTCGTCTCCATCTCCTCCAACGCGATGCCCATGACGGACAGCAGCACGATGGCCAGGTCCAGCTGGTTCCACCTGTGGCCGCGGGCGCCACTGAGCAGGCCAGCAGCCCTAAGGAGCCCCGTCCTCGACTGCTACTTGTGTCCTGTTCTGCACCCAGAGCCCCGCCCCAGCAGACCGAGGCCCCGCCCCAGGAGCCTGAGGCTCCACCCCAAGCCGAGGCCCCGCCCCAGCAGTCCGAGGCCCCAAGCCCCAAGGCTCCGCTCACACCTGTCCTTGAAGAACCTCCGGAAGCCAAAGGCCACCAGCTTGAGTGCAGCCTCGAAGACGAAGACGGCGGTGAACACGTAGTTGCAGTACTTGAGGGCCTCGTCCAGCGACTGCGGGCAGGCGGTCGAGCTGGCCCAGCGGCCCTGGGCCGTGGGGCTGCCCCTCCCCGCCCACGCCGACCACTGGCCCTCTGCCCGGGCCTCCGGGACCAGCTCCCCCAATGGCCACCTGGGTGCCGCTGCGGCTCCGTGCTGGCCACCGTGGCCGTCCTGCCTCCACCGGCCTGGGTGCACAGAGCAGGCCCAGCCGGCAGGCAGGGCAGGCAGGGGAGGCAGCCGCCCACCCCCAGGTGTCCAGACACGCGCTGCTGCGGCCGAGGCGCTGCCCCGGGCGCGGCCCACCTTGGGCTGGTTGTAGTGCTCCATGGACATGGTGATGACGTTGACGCCGATGATGAAGGTGATGAAGAGGTCGAGGTAGTGGCTGGTGCACAGCGAGTGGATGGAGCGCCGGGCGTGGGAGTAGTCGGCGTAGTAGGGCCGGCGCTGGGCCTCTGTGGGGAGGGGGAGGCGCTGAGCGTCACCCCTCTCTCCTCGGGGAGGCCGGTCGCAGAGGACCAGGCTCTGTGTGCCCGGCTGGGGAGGCCACCGCCCCAACTCTTCCACCTGCGGGTGCTGGCCCCGCCGGCCCCAGGAGCTGCACGCGGCTGAGGCGGCCTCCCCACCCCCAAGGCCCTGCCGCTCAGGGACAGCACAGGAGCTTTGCCTGGGTCCACCTGTGCTGGCCCTGGACAAACGAGGGTGGGCAGGGCCACCACCTCCTCCATCCCCGTGTGGGCCCCTCGGGGCCTCGGCGATGGAGACAAGAGTCCAGGCAGCTCCAGCCAGCAAGCCCTGCCCAGGGCCCATCCCGTGTCTTCCCAGGGGCCACTGGCAGCTGCCCGTGCTCAGCCGGGCCCTGGCCCGCCTGCGATGGCTAGACGGGAACCTTCCTCCGCTAAGCCCAAGCACGCCCCCTGCAGGGCAGTCTTCGGTCCGCACTGCGCCTGCTCCCACCCCGGGCCCCGCCCCCTTGCCGGCATGCAGGTGCCCGAGCTGGGCGGCCCCAAGCCTGCGGGGGAGGGGGGGGCAGGCAGCTCAGGCCGCCCTGCGCAGGACGTGCAAGTCGGGCGGGCACACGCGGGGTGCGGGCAGCAGCGTGGACCCCGCCAGGCCAGCCGCAGCCCTCCCCCCGCCCCAGGCGGCAGCGCAGGGCATGCGGGGTGGGCAGATACCTGGGCTGGGGAGGGTGCCTGGAAAGACAAGGACACACTTGAGGGGCCGTGGTGGGGACACCTGGTGCCCTGTGCAGCAGCCCGCCCGCCCCACGCCCGTCTCGGTACCGTGCGGCCCCGTGGAGCGTGAGTCCAGGGTGCAGGGGCGGGGCCCAGGGACTCGCCAGGCAGGCACGTGCAGAGCCATTCGGGGCAGTGGGCGGGGCTGTGGCCCGGGGCGCACGGTACCGACCGACCCGCCACACCGCCACCGCCGCCGCCGCCACCGCGGGCGCCTTACTCCTGCGCTTCCTCTCCAGGCGCCGCCGCCGCTTCTCCTCGCGCCGCCGCGCCTCCTCGGCCTCCTGGTGCTGCCGGCACTTGTGGAAGTTCTCCACCACGACGCCCACGAACATGTTGAGCACGAAGAAGCTGACGATGAGCAGGAAGGAGATGAAGTACAGCAGCATCCAGGGGTTGTGGTTCTGCACGGGCTGCGGCACACGGGGCGCTGGGTCCTGGCCGAGCACACCGGCCCCGGGCCCCAGACGCAGCAGGGACCGCCCGTGTGCACAGGCTGGCCCACCCTCCCCCCAGCACACAGCAGGGACCGCCCGTGTGCACCTGCTGGCCCACCCTTCCCCCAGCACACAGCAGAGACCGCCCGTGTGCACCGGCTGGCCCTCCCCCCAGCACACAGCAGGGACCGCCCGTGTGCACCTGCTGGTCCGTGCCCCTGCCCCTGCCCCAGGCTGCCCATGCGCACCTGCTGGTCCACGCCCACGGCGTCCAGCCCGTCGTACATGATGTTGACCCAGCCATCCTTGGACGACAGCACGAACAGTGACATCAGTGCCTGCAGGCCGGAGTGAGCATCAAGGGTGGGCACTGTGGCCACAGCCCCCCGTGCGGCCCACGGGCAGGAGGGGCCCCGCGGCCCCACACCCACCTGGCCCAGGTTGTCGAAGTTGTACTTGCGCCGCACCCAGCGGTAGTGGGCAGCCCGGCACTCAGCCTTGGTGGAGATGTTCCTGGTGTCGGCGCCCTCGCAGTAGTAGAATTTGCCCTTGAAGAGCTGGGCAGAGCCGGTGGGGCGGTCACCCCAAGGCCCAGCCTGAGCCCCCCCAGGATCCCAGAGGACCCCCAGGCAGGGCGGTGGGCCCAAGGCCTGGCTAAGTCCTCCCAGGACTCCAGAGAACCTTCCAAGGTAGGGTGGTTACCCCGAGGCCCCTGGGCAGGGCGGTCTCTCCCAGGACACCCTGCAGCGGCACACACCTGCACCCCGAGGCCCCCTGGGCAGGGCGGTCTCTCTCAGCTCCCCCCACCGCAGGACAGTCACCCCGAGGCCTCCCAGGCAGGGCAGTCTCTCCCAGGCCCCCCGGGCAGGGCGGTCTCTCCCAGGATGCCCTGCGGGGCACACACCTGCACCCTGAGCCCCCCCCCCCCCCCGGGCAGGGCGGTCTCTCCCAGGACGCCCTGCGGGGCACACACCTGCACCCCGAGGCCCCCCCCCCAGGCAGGGCGGTCTCTCCCAGGACACCTGCGGGGCACACACCTGCACCCCGAGCCCCCCCCCCCCCCCGGGCAGGGCGGTCTCTCCCAGGACGCCCCGCGGGGCACACACCTGCACCCCCAGGATGCCGAAGACGATGAAGAAGGCGCAGCAGATGAGGACGATGTTCCCGATGGGCCGCAGCGAGGAGATGAGCGTCTCCACCACCAGCTTGAGGCCCGGGGCCCGGCTGATGACCCTGGACGGGGCAGGGGGTCGCGCTGCTGGGCCGGCCGGGAGAGCCGCCGCAGCCCGCGGGCCGGGCACGAGCCGAGACCCCGGGCGGGCCCCACGCCCCCACCTCAGCGGCCGCAGGGTCCGCAGCAGGCGCAGCACGCGCAAGATGCCCAGGATCTTGGCGCCGCTGGCGGAGGCCATGGCCACGACGATGTCGACCAGCGACACGAGCACCAGCAGCCCGTCCAACACGTTCCAGCTGCTCTGCAGGTAGGCGTGCTCGCCCGCGAGCAGGCCCTGCGCCACCACCTGGGGGGGGCGGCACTGCTGGGGCAGGGGCCGGCAGCCGGGGGCGCACCGGCAGGCCCGGGCCCCGACCCCGCGCTACCTTCACCAGCATCTCGGCCACGAAGATGGCTGTGAAGACGAAGTTGGAGACGCTGAGGAAGGCGCGCTCCTGCGGGGAGAGGGCGGTGGGAGGGGCCGCGTGGGCGGCCCCGGCCCCGGGCAGGGCGGGAGGCGCCACTCACGGTGCTGCCGGGGTCGATGTCGGGCCTCTCGAGCGCGATGGTGACGCAGTTGAGGAAGATGAAGGCCAGCACCACGTGGTCGAACAGCCTGTGCGCCACGAGCCTCTGGAGGCAGACGCGGAGCCTGGGCCCCCAGCCGGCTCAGCGCGGTGCGGACGGCCCGAGACGCCCCGGCGCGCCCCGCCTCGGGAAAGGGGAGCTGCCCGGGGCGCCCCCGCGGGGGGTCGGGAGGGGGCCTACGGGGGGACCAGAGGGGGTTGGGCCTGGGCCCCTCACCGGTTCTGCGGGGAGAAGAGGTAGAGGGCCCAGGACTCTCGGCTCCGACACCAGCGTGGCCGATACGGCTCCAGCACCTTGTGCAGGCGGAAGCAGCAGCTCTGGGGACGGGAGGGGGCTGCTCAGGGCCGCGCCCGCCCGCTGCTCTCGGGGTTCCCTGCCCGGCCAGCGGGAGGGACGGCACAGGGCAGGGGAGTGGCCGCACGGAGTGCGTGGGGCCGGGGGCGGAGCCAGAGCACGGCAGCCCCGCCCTCCCGGCCACTCACGTCCTCCACGTCGTCCTCGAACTCGGCCGGGTCCTCCCTGTGGCTGTCGATGCGCAGGAAGATCTCGCTGGGCAGGGCCAGCATCTGCCCGTTGCAGTCGTGGGGCTTGGCGGGCGGGAGGGCGGCCGGCCGCGGGGGCCGCAGGTCCAGGGCGCCGCGGGGCTCCAGGGACTCGGCGCGCCGCAGCGGGGGGCCGTCCTCCGCCTCGTCGTCCGTGCTGCCCTTGCCCTCGCCGGACAGCAGCGACTCCCGCTCCCCGCGCTGGCCGCGCCGCTTGAGGCTGCTGCGGCTGGAGCGCCGGCTGCTCCACGCGCCGTTGGGGCCCCAGTGGGCGCAGGGCGAGCCGCGGAGGCTGGCCTGGGGGGCACGCGGCGTGAGTCAGTTAACCCCATGCCTGCCGGTCACGGAGCGGCTGTGTGCAGGCTGTGTGGTGTCCCCGGCCGGGCCGGGAAGACAGGGCCACAGTGGGAGGCGTCCGGGTGCCAGCCCAGCGGGGGCGCCTCTGGCCCCTTGCGGCCTCGGCGATGGCTGAGGGCCTGGGCGGGGGTGTGCAGGGCACCCACGGGGCCAGGCAGCACCCTGGGCTCACACAGGAAGGTGCTCGGCCACCCCAGGCAGGCAGCCCGGGGACCCAGGTCACTCAGCTCCCGGGGGACTCGATTCTGACTCTCGGGTCTATCGCCCCACGGCGAGGCCCCGTCCGTCTCTGGCTGGGATGCACCTGGCGCTGGCCGGCCTGGCCCTGACCCCCTCACCAGACTCCCACCTTGACGCACCTGCACCTGCTGTGCTCCCTGTGTCCCCTGTCCGCCCGGGCCCTGGGCACCGCCAGCCTGCGTCTCCCATCACACCCGCCTCGTGCCTGCCTCCCCGAGGGGTCGCCCAGGCTCGGCTCCGCACGGGACTGGGCCGCACAGGGGTCAGGGTGGGGGCACGGGGACCCTCACTCATCTCTGGGAAAGGAGGGGCTGGGAGCCCTAGTGAGGGGGCGGTCCCTACCAGAGACTTCTGGTCGCCCAGCTGGGGGTCCACGGAGCCACTGCTGCTGCGCCGCGAGTCCGGGAGCCTGTGGGCCGCGTCCAGGAGCGGGGAGCCCTTGGGGGTGGGCGTGGGGGTGGCCGCCGTGCGCATGATAAGGGGGGGGAAGCGGCTGCTGCGGCCCTCCAGGTGCCCATTGGGGGTCACTGCCAGCGAGCACATCTTCACCTCTGCGGCGGGGGTGGGCCGTGAGCCTCCAGGGCTTGGGGCGCGAGTGGGCGCCGCCCAGGAGCCCCCACCCATCACCCTCGCACCTGTGGCCCGCAGGCCCTGGAGCTTGTCGGAACCCTCCTCGGAGGGGGCGGAGGTCTTGTCCTCGTCCGAGTCGGACCTGTTGGCGTCGCCCTGCGGCCCACAGCACCGGGCGGGCGTGAGGCCAGGCCGGGAGGGACCGCCCGCCGCCCCGGGGGCAGGAAGCGCCTCACCTCCGCCTGGAAGCCCTCCACCAGGATGGCCACCAGCAGGTTGAAGAGCACATAGTTGCCGAAGGTCATGAGGGCCACGAAGTAGAGGGAGGCCCAGGGCGAGGTGGAGGCCATGCCGTTGTACAGGACCACGTTCCAGTCCTCCTGCGTCAGGATCTGCGGCCGCCGGGCCCTCAGCCTCCTGCCGGCTGCGGCCCGGCCCCTCCCGTGTGGCCTAGCGCCTGCGGCCCCGCCCGTACCTGGAACACGGTGACGATGGCCCACAGCAGCGAGTCGAAGTTCTTCCTGTCGGGGACCGTGTCCCCGCTGTCCGTCTTCAGACTGAACTTGCAGCCGAACAGGTGCATCCCTAGGATGCTGTGGGGGGAGCGGCACGGGCCCTGGGCTCAGCCAGGCCCCCACCCCGCAAGAGGCCCTGCCCCCGAGAGGCCCCGCCCCGCGAGAGGCCCCGCCCCGCGAGAGGCCCTGCCCCCGAGAGGCCCCGCCCCACGAGAGGCCCCGCCCCGCGAGAGGCCCCGCCCCCGAGAGGCCCCGCCCCACCCCGTGAGAGGCCCCGCCCCACGAGAGGCCCCGCCCGCGAGAGGCCCCGCCCTGCCGGCAGCACCTGAAGATGAAGAGCGGCCCCGCCCCACAAGAGGCCCCGCCCCCGTGAGGCCCCACCCCTGCGATAGGCCCCGCCCCACGAGAGGCCCTGCCCGCGAGAGGCCCCGCCCTGCCGGCAGCACCTGAAGATGAAGAGCGGCCCCGCCCCGCAAGAGGCCCAGGCCCCGCCCCCGTGAGGCCCCACCCCTGCGATAGGCCCCGCCCCACGAGGCCCCGCCCCGCCGGCCGCACCTGAAGATGAAGATGAAGAGCATGAGCAGCGTGCAGAAGGTGGCCACGTTGTCCATGGTCTTCACCAGCACCACGAGCTGGCGCCGCAGCGCCGGCAGGAAGCGCACCAGCTTCAGCACGCGCAGTAGCCGGAAGGTGCGCAGCACGGACAGGCCGCCGTCCGCCTGGCCCAGGATCTCCCAGACGCTGCGGGCCGGCGCCAGGCCGCGGTCACCAGGGCCCTCCCTCGCCCCGGCTGCACCGGGGGCCCGAGGGGCGGCTCAGCGGCACTGGGGGTCCTAGCCGGGGGCCCTCCCCATCCTCGCGCCTCACCGTCGCCCGGCTGGTCACTCCCGCTTCCCATGGGGAGGCCGGGGACCCCTCCCACGCCCACTTCCTGGCAGCACCCCCCCCCAGACAAGCTGCACTCAGCCCTCCAGGCCGTCCTCCGCCCAGCAGCACGGCTGTGGCGCCAGGGCCGCTCCCGCGTGCCCGGCGGGGCCCGGGGGTCCCGGAGACAAGGCTGGCCGGCGCCCCCACCTGATGACCACGATGACCCCGTCGAAGATGTTGTAGGGGTTGCGGACGTAGCCCAGCGGCCCGCAGGCCAGCAGCTTCAGGAGCATCTCCAGGGCGAACAGGCTGGTGAAGACCACGTTGCTGATCTCCAGGGCGCTCGTCAGCTCCTCGGGCTGGGGCGGGGCGGGCCGCGTCAGGGCTTCCGCCCCTCCGGGCCCCCCAGCTGACCCGCCTCCACCACGCCAGGACCCTCCAGGGCAGGGACCGGGCGTTCACGGGACGGCCGAGCAGGGGCAGACAGTGCCGCCGCGCCTCGTCCCCCCTCCCGGTCTGCAGGACGTGGTCTGGCTGGCTGCTGTGGGACGTGTGTGTTTCTGTGATGCGTGTGTGTGGGCCAGCGTGTACCCCTGCACGTGTGACTGCGCCGTGGGGCCTGCCAGAGTGCACACACACGTGTGCGCACCTCCTGTATGCACACGTATCTGGTCTGTGGCCGCGCACGTCCGCACGTGGAGGCTCCGAGACCGGCTGCTGTCCCTGGCTGGGCCTCGCCCTCCCCGGAGAGGGCCCTGGCCCGAGCACTCGGCCCCCACGGGAACCTCGGGGAGACCAGGGCCCGGCGCACCTGCTCGTGGTACTCCACGCCCATGCTCAGCGTGTTGACCAGGATGGCCACCATGATGCCACGGTTGAAGTACTTGCTGTCCACGATGTGCCGCAGCTTGCAGCCAAGGGCGGCCCACAGGCGGCCCAGCCCGCGCAGCTCCCCCGGGGCCGCCTGCCGCCGCTGCGCGCCACCCTGGCCGGGCGCGTCCGCCGTGGGGGGCGGCTGCAGGG